ATATATATATATATATATTGGTTAATATTTGATCTTACCCCTATATATATATATATATATAATTTTATGTAGACACGTTTATATATGCATGCATATATGTTTGTTACACATGGAGGCCCCCCGGTTTCCGTTGATGGTTTTTGTAGCAGCTTTTTTGGTGTGAACCACCCGTACTCCACATGTGCTTTACCCCCCCCTTGAAAAGTCAATTACCTGCCCCACCCGTGGGTGATTTTTAAAAACAATTGTATAATGATAATAAATTTAAATGTTTAAAATTTTACATCTTAAGTATCAAAATGAAAATTATGAGACTACATCACCCAAAATAAAAATCAAATTAAAGCACGTTACTTTTTTCATGCAATTTATCTTACTTGAAAAGAAATTTACTATCATTTTTGCATGGAGTACAAGTATTCATAACGATAATTCAATCAAATACTGAGAAAAATGACATGTATTCGAACAAATAAACATATTATCAGACGTTTTCTTTTCGAGTAACGGATAATGTATCTATGAGGAGAAACAGTCTGTATAACGTTATGATTATAATCTTTCAAGTATGTATATATATATATATATATATAGAGAGAGAGAGAGAGAGAGAGAGAGACTTGGATCACGTGAGACCATCATGTTTTTGTGAGACCCATGAAACCACTTTTTTACACTTGAAATTTCACAGCAAAACGCTGTGAAGGTAAAAAAAATTAGAACATCCACAGCAAAAACACTGTGAAGGCTGTCTTCACATCGTTTTATTGTGAAGTTTCAAGTGTGAAAAAATTGTATCATAAGTCTCACAAAAACAGATTGGTCTCACGTGATTCCAAGTACACATATATGTATATACGTGTGTGTGTGTGTGTGTTAGAAGAATAATTATAGTAAAATCAAATTCGTGATTTTTGTTAGAAGAATCATTTCATTACTAAATACAGAACAACATGATCGTTTGTGTATGCTTTACATATCATCTCGTTTCTTTTGACTACTTCAGTAGTGAATGATACTTATATATATATATATATATATATATATATATATATATATTACATTCTGTACATGTATTACACACGTAATAACGCTTACGGGTCAATCTTGATCTGATCATCTCACTTGTCTATGAGGTGGAATCTTCGTTAATCAATTTGCGGGAAAACCCGACACGATCGTCAAAAGAATGTCCCGATGTTTGAACATTCCCGATAGACGTTATCGTCCCATGCATATTTCATGTATAGATGCAAATTAATTTGTGCCCCTACCTTATATTATAACATCTCCATAATTGTGGCTCAATTTCTAGTCTCCCCTCCTTGCCCTTCCAAGTCGTTGGCACGAGCATTCGCAGTTCCTGTGTGTACAGAGTGTTCTCGTTCCATCACGTGGAAAAACGCATGAGGTGCCCAACCTGTATGGTTCAAGGGCAAAATGGTCATTTTCTCTCAAGATTTAAAGATGACCAAAAACAAATAGTTAAAAGTACCATTTTCGTGATTCGGGAATGGGAAGAATTGCAGGTAGCAAAATGCAGCAACAGTTGTTCCTAGAAAACATATGTACAACATTTTTATTTTTAAACGTGTCTCAAATCGCCCGTTCTTGCAAACTGTACCCAAAAATTTACAAGAACGAGGCAAAAATCTAAGTAGCCAACTTCGAATCACGAACCTATGATTGCTCCGGTAAAAACATCTGTCCAATGATGCCAGTAGTCGTCGACGCGACTCACTCCAACAAGCGCAGCAAAAAGATATGGAGACACGACGATGCACAGGCTCGCCACATGACCCTTATTATCAAAGGTTCTAAGTTTTCCGCATAAGTACCAAGCAAGGAAGCCAAGACCCGCAAACGACCCTGCATTTTTCATACAATAAGCTCACTGTTTTTATTCTTCATGACAAAAATATGAACGTTAAGTTTGTTCATCCATTGGATGTGAGGGAAACTGAACCGATCTAATCATCCACTGGATGTTGGATTTTGCCAACCGATCAACATTGGATAATCGATCCAATGGATGATTGGATCGGTTCGGTTTCATCCATTTGATACTTTTATTGGATATACATCGGATATCCAATGGATGATGATCCAATTATGGGTATAAATTGTAAATTAAATAATACATATATTAATAAAATTATATACCGGGTCGGGGGGATACGCTACCCGACTCTATCCCCACCCCCCGTTTGAGTCAACTATGGATCCCCGGCCACGGTCCCGAGACCCGTTTTAGTGGGGAATCCACATCCCCATTCGGGTCGGGCAAATCACCATCCATAGTTAGGGATACAAGTCTCATATCCCAAAATCTAACGTCTCTGTCCCACCAATAAAAGTAAGACACGTCATACTTTTTTATATTTTAAATTTATTTAATTCAAATCAGCATTCTTTTTCTAACACTGTATATTCATGTAATGGGTGGACATTAATGAAACGTAAGAATTCAGAACAGAAGATTTTTATCTGAGTTGGTTGTTCAAAAACGTACACGAAGTATGGCCACTTGGGAAGCTCTTGTATCCTTCTTTTATTATCAGGGGATCCCCATGGCATAGAACATCTCCATTGTCCTTGAATGCCTGTATTGAAAATATAACAATAAAATCAGATATTTTGAAATATCTGCTGTATCTATGAAAACGAAAAGAATAATATCGATCAGAGTTCCCGAAATTTCTTAAGAGGGGACATTAGTACCGCTTTTCCATCTGGAAAGCATCTATAGAAGAAATTTGGTCGTGGTCGACCTGTTGCGTCTTTTATCGAATCTGTGATGACTGCTGTTATCAGAACTGCGTAGAAAAGACCTGAGGTCCGAAAAGCAAAATTTGTGTCATTACTTTGCAACCTTCATGCCATGACCCGTATATAGAGTAAATTATGTTTTTCATCCCTGATCTTTGTTAGAATTTGTAATTTTCATCCCTGTAGTTTAAAATTTACGTTTTTGGTCCTTATGGTTTGTAACTTATGACTACTTTTATCTTTACTTTCTTGTACGTATCTAGAAACGTATTAAGCCAATAAATTGTACGGTGTGCACATAAACTAAAAGAGACGTACCAAGAATAGCATGGTGCAAATCATAGACATCCTTCCGGTACAAGTAATACATGAAGAATACTACACATGGTAGCACCACTGCATACGACTGTAACTCAAACGAGCGTTAGAATCAGTGAAAATTCCGTGAATAAAAACATGTCGATATATGCACGTTCTCTCTGTGTAGAACAATGGAAATTGAGAAAAACGCACGTACCGGAACTGCATACATAGGAATGGTGTCTTTTTCGTAGAACGGGTATTTCATATCAACCATCATTTCTTCTCCGACATAGCGGTGGAAAGGTTCGATAATGTTTAGGAACAGATCGATCGATGCTAAGAGGATAAGGACCATCCAATCGTGCGAATGCTCCCTTGCGAGTTCTTTGCCATGGGAGCAAATAGTGTGAGCTCCGTTACCCGTCTGAATCTCTGGCATTATTAAAATTTTTACCTACAGGAAATAAATTATTTGTTATTAAAACGTTACACCACGTAGCTAAAGCGGCGTCCAAGTTTATTAAGACCGTAAAATAGTAGTATAGTAGTTTATGTCCTCTTCTTGTCCCAAATCAGGAGTGACGTTATCTTGTATCCATTTGATAATCGAACATAACGTTACATATGCCTATATTATATGTGAAAAATGGCAAATCAGAGTTCAGACGAGTTAGTTAACAAATCAAAATTGGTTCGAGTCAAACTTGTAAAAAAAAGTTTCAAATGGGTCGGGTCGGATTGCCCCGTGTTTTCTGTGTTTCATAAATAACTAATTTAATCGAAATGCATACATACATACTGACACACACACACATGCATATACATATGCATATACATATACTGGTTGGGTTCACGTGAGACTAAGGGTTTTTCGTGAGACTCGTAAGACCAATTTATGTTCATTGATCAACTTTATAAGCTAATGGTCTAAAGTTGCATGGTGACAATTTTGTAATTTGAGAAGTCTCATGGCGTTTATGAATGTTCAGATTGTCAGATTGTAGATCTAATCTAAGGGTTGAGAATTGGCCTTACGGGTCTCATGAAAAACTCTTTGTCTCACATGACCCCAAATCTACATATACATATACATATACATATACATATACATATACATATACATATACATATACATATACATATACATATACATATACATATACATATACATACACAGTTGGGAGGAAAGTTCATGAACACACTCATACATATACATATACACATACATATACATATACACATACACATACAAATACACATACACATACAGAGGATGTAGGTTTAAACCAGAACAATAACCAAATAATAGAACACGAAAACAGCCAAATCACGTGCAAAATCACATGTGACCTTACACAACGGTCGATGCAAGGGTGTGTGGACAGTGTGGTGACAATGTGGCCCGCGACCAAAAGTCGTGTGAATCACATGTGATTTTACACGTGATTCTAACATAAAATCACACGTGATTCACCCGCTTTCTTATTTGGTTATTGTTCTCGTTTGAACCTCCTTATATACATATGTGTATGTATATGTATATGTATATATATATATATATATATATATATATATAGAGACTTGGGATCATATGAGACCAAAGCTTTTTCGTAAGACCCGTAAAACCAATTCTTAACCCTTGGATTAGATCTACAATCTCAATATTCATAATCATAAAATTGCCATAAGATTTCTCAATAATTACAAAATTGCCACCATGCAATTTTAGACCATTAGATCGTTAGCTTATAAAGTTGATCAATGAATATAAATTGGTCTCACGGGTCTCACGAAAAACCCTTGGTCTCACGTGAACCCANCGGGTCTCACGAAAAACCCTTGGTCTCACGTGAACCCAACCCTATATATATATATATATATATATATATATATATATATATATATATATAAGAATAGAGGAATGTACCTTTAGATAAAAAGGATAAAAGCCAAGAGAATTCAGAGGGGGCAAGGGATGGGGCTCATAGAATTAGGGAAATGGAGATGGGATTTTGGTGAATAAGATGGAGTTTAATAAGTGAATATGAAGAAAACTTGTGAATATGCATCATTCCATTTTTGGATGCTTGGTTGCACTTCAAATTCGCAAACCCCCCATTTGCACAATTCATGCATCTTCTTTCAATTTTCCAGTTACGTAAATCGCATATTACAGATCATATTTGACTTGGGTCAACCACAAAAATACCATGTTTTAACTGATTTGAGAGGTTCTCCGTCCTTTTTGTAGCATTGTAATCGGAATTCAAAAAAAAAAACAGATGTTTTACGAAAACACTGTTTATTACGTTTGTTCTGTCAGGTACTGGGAATGATTTGGAATCGAAAAATAAACTGAGTTTCGAATTAATGATACTGATCAAATGCAGAAACTGGGAATTATGGGTAAAAATCGGCTTTCTTTTATTTGTAAAATTAATACAACTTTATCTGCACAAAAGTTGATTACTGCGAATTCTAACCGGCCTTGAAACTGCCTCCAAGGACACTAATGTGAGGGGTGCAATTTTTGGTTCACTTGACGGTTGAGGCTAGCTGCAGGGAGAGAGGGTGTTGAGATCGAACGTAGGACCTGTTAGTATTTACGTGAGATCAGTCTGTTTTTAAATGGGATCATTTTTTTATACTTGAAACTTCACAATAAAATGTTGTGAAGGTAAAAGAAACCGAACTTTCACAGCAAAACACTATGAAGGTTAAAATAATAAAACAATACAATAAATTAATAAAATAGAGTTTTTTTTTTTATTAACCTAGAAGGTCCCAAATCATCAGACGAGAAAAGAAAAGGACCTATTTTGTTAAAAATTCATTTTATAGACCTAATCTGTTAAAATCAATAAAGAACAAGGACTAAACTTGTAACTCACTCGTTTAGTAAATTACAATTTTCATCCCTATGGTTTATTAATAATTTTGATTTACGTCTATGTGATTTTAAAATTGTGATTTTTATTTTATGATTTGCAATTTATTACTATTTTCATCCCTGAATTAATTAGTACCTTTAATTACAAAGGACTACAACAGTAATGAATTGTAAATCATAGGAGACCATAACAATAAATGGGAAAAACCACAAAGGTGGTGTCTGATTGGTTTAAGCTTGGCTCCAAAGGTCAAAAGTTCCAGGAGGTATCAGGTTCAAATCCAAAGAGGAATAAAAATCCTTTTGTGGCCATAGAGATTCAAATGCAGTGACTCCGGGCTATTTGCAAAGCTGGTGGTCGTCCTGAGATTAGTCGGCTCGCATAGCAGGTTGGATATCCAGATTAATAAAAAAAACAATAAATGGTAAATCATAAGGATAAAATTGCAATTATATTACAAATTATAGGGACTAAAATATCAATTTCTAAACCACAGGGATAAAAATAGCAATTATTGACAAACTACAGGGACTAAAAACGTAATATAGTCTTTAGTTTTGGTTCAGTTGAGCTGGTATGGCGATTGGCGAGCTCTTACCTGCACCTCAAATGGCGGAAGGGGAGAGATGAACCCTTGAAAACCCTAACCATGTGTTTGCATTCTAAATTTAGAAATCTATTTGTGAATTCCATCCAAAACACCACGGAAAGCAAATGAATTCCGCTGGATCTTTCGAGAAACCAGAAGGAGATCATTTTCAGATATCCAAATTCATCACAATAATATTTTGTGATTCGATCAGGTGATTGTGATGAATACTCTGTTAGGTCTTCTTAGAGTTCGTATCAAAAGAGGTGTAAATCTCGCCGTTCGTGATATCAATACTAGTGATCCGTATATCGTCATCAGGATGGGTAAACAGGTTAGTAATTTTCATTTTTATCGTTTTGTTTGCTTTGTCATTTCTTCGATTTTAGGGATTGCGATTCGAGATTCGAATTTGCCCTAATTTTTTGCTTCCGATCTATTCCTGTTTGTATGAAAGGTGTAATTTGGTGCCGTGATCTTCCATTGTTGATTTATATGAAATTGATTCTTCAAAACGACGAGGAAACCAAACATGATTAAGGAATGGAGAAATTGCAGATCCAAACTCTTACCATTTCATCAAAATATGTATAAATGAATCAGAGTATTGATTGAAATCTGATAAACTAAATTAGCATCAAATTCTTATGATGAGATTTGTAGATGCAATTTTCGTAGAACATACCAAAATGAAGATTGTTATTGTATTATGTGGACAAGGTATTGTTAGCTATTAGCCTATTACTACTAGTTTTTGGGCACATCTACTGATGTATTTTTAGCCGAATTCCACGGTTTGAGGGATTTTTTGAGTTTTTTGATTGATTTCAAGAGGTTTTTTTCGGTTTTCTTTTTGATAATGTCTTGTATTTTCTAGTATTCCGAAGCACCGTTCAAAGTTTAGCCCGTGCAACTTTCATATCAAAAAATTTTTACTTCCAAAAATAAGTTGAGCGGATGCACGGGACCGCTCGGGGCTTCATAGGTCCGCCCGTGCCCATGTTTCTTTAGCCGAATTGCATTGTTTCGAGGGATATTTTAAAGTTTTTTTGTTGATTTTGAAAGACTTTTTCGGTTTTCTGGTTGATGTCCGTATTTTCTAGTATCCCAGACACCACTCATAGTTTAGCGGGCACCTTTCATACCCAAAAGAAAGTTACTTCCAAAAATAAGTTGAGCGGGTGAACGGGTTGGGCCTGCATGGATCCACCCTTGCTATGTTTCTTTAGCCGAATTCGACCGTGTCGAGGGATTTTTTAAGTTTTTTGGTTGATTTTGAAAGACTTTTTCGATTTTCTGGTTGACGTCCCTTGTATTTTCTAGTACCACGAAGCACCGCTAAAGTTTAGTGGGTGCACCGTTCATACCCAAAAGAAATTTACTTACAAAATAAGTTGAGTGGGTGCACGAGACCGCTCGGGTCTTCATAGGTCTGCCCCCGCCCATGTTTCAGCCCTTGTTTCTTCCTTGTGAAACCTCACCCGAAAAAATGGAACCTAAAACACGGGTCTGTTAGGGTGCGTTTGGTACGTTGGACATGGTGGGACAGGACAGGACAGAACACAATTGTCCTATGTTTGGTGTGGCCTTATGTGGGACTCACTAGAACTAGCTAGAACACGGGTGGGACAAGCCTGTCCACCCTTACCCCCCTGGAACTAACTAGAACAGGAAATATTTTACCTATCTACCCTCTCAAAACCCTTCTTCGCTTCCACCGCATACTTCAATTGGCGGTATCGATTTCAATCGGCCGTATCGATTTCAATCGGCCGCATCGATTTCAATCGATTTCAATCGGCGGTATCGATTTCAATCAAAACACCCTTCGTTCCCCTTCACAAAGGCATCGATTGCATCGATTGCTGTTTCTATCGATTTCAAAGGCATCGATTGCATCGATTGCTGTTTCTATCGATTTCAAAGGCATCGATTGCATCGATTGCTGGTTTCAATCGTTCCCCTTCACAAAGGCGTCGATTGCTGGACAAAATCATTCCCCTTTTGTATCGATTGCATCTGTTTGTTGTTTCTATCGATTGCACTTTGTTTGCTGTTTTTGTATCGATTGCATATGTTTGCTGTTTTTGTGACGATTGCATTTACAAACCCAGACAACAAGCTCATTTTGGTAATCTGCAGCAATAAGAACTACTTTTGTAAGATTGTTCATCAGATCTCCTTCGATTTCATTTTAGGGTTTTAATCGAAATTGTCAGTGACTGTAAAATTGATTGAAGTTGAAGATTTTAGGGTTTAGAATCCGATGTCGTTTCTCAAGTGGGTTTAGGAGTATGGTAGACTAATTTGATCATGGTGGTTAGAATTCTGGGATTGACTCATTGGGGTAAATTAGTCAATTTAACCAGTTCTGTCCAGTCCTATCATGTCTTACCAAACGTTGAACAGCTGTCCTGTCCTGTCCTGTTCTGTCCTGTCCCGTCCTGTCCCGTCATGTCCTGTCTGCGTACCAAACGCACCCTTAATGCAGTCATAGTAATCAACAAAGCAATTTTGTCGTGCATATGTCTCGAACAAGTAAACAAACCCATTTCGACCTCTTCAACTTTATTGCTGTCTAGCATGTGCAGTTTCAAAAGACTAATCTATTATAGAACTCATATGATCGTTGGTCTTCCATATCCCAGTCAAACTACGGTGTAGAAATGAGATTTTTGACCCGAATGGTGCTAACCGAGTCTCTTGAACCAATAGTCGTAGATTTGAGACTTCTTTTTCATGGTAAACATGGGTGTCTGGACCGGATTGAGTGCATCTTGACTAATCCCATGGGGAATGCTTATGAAGATAATAGCCAAATCCCTAGAGACGCGAACTGGCGACCCATGAGAAGGCGCCCCAAGGCGCAACTGGTGCTAACCGAGTTTCTTGAACCAGTAGTCGTAGTTTTGAGACTTTTTTTCATGGTAAGCAGGGTGTCTGGACCAGATTGCGTGCACCTTGACTAATCCAATGGGGAACAACCCCTTAAGATATTAGCCAAATCCCTAGAGACTCGAACTGGTGACCTATGAGGAGGTGCTGCAAGGCCTAGCCTCTATTTGTCGGTTTTGAGAAAAAACAAACAAAGAAGAGTTTACCATGTTGAGGAAACTACCTTAGGTTTTGCTTTGATATTTAGTTATATTACTTTTTGCATCTCTTCCACTTAGAACTTCATCATTAAACCCTTTGTTCCATGGATGTTTATAATGTTGTGCAGAAGCTGAAGACTCGAGTCATGGAGAGGCATGTCAACCCTGTGTGGAACGAAGACTTGACTCTTTTCATATATAATCCTGAGCTTCCAATAAAGCTGGTAACTTTCTTACATTTCGATCCATTCATGAAGTAAAAGTGGACAACAAAATCATACGTTTGTTTACATTCGATCCCATGAACGTTTCTGAAGAAAACTAAGGGGTCGTTTACCAAACGCTTACCGAATAAGAGCTTACCAGCAAGAGCCACCACCCTCACTTACCTAATCGGGTAACATTCTTGGCCATCAAAATGGATTATTGGTAAGCGTCTTTTACCTGGTAAGCGCTCACCGGGCTCACTCACCGAGTAGGATTCTCAGTCTTTGCTATGCCTTTTATCGGGTCACCCGGTAAGGTAAGTGACACTCGGTAAGCACTTGATAAACAACCCCTAAGTTGTACCCTTGAAAGATCTACACTTTGTAGTTATGGAATAAAAAGTCTCTATACATCTTTCCTTGAAATTTTAGCCCCAATCTCTTCTTATTCGCAAACCGTCTTATAATGTTTCATGTAGCTAGCAGTTTTTTATCGCATAGTGCGAAGTAGATGTCGAGTTTACATCCAAAAGACATTTGGTTTGATGTTAATGGTCAAATTGCAACTTTGATAAGCCAAAATATCATACGGATATCTAGCAAGCAACTTTTTTCTTTTTTGCACATTATCTTGACGAAAAACGAAACAACTGTTTTACTCTTTGGGGTTTGAGGTCAGGTTTTTGTACATCTCACCCTCCACAGACTCCACCTTCGGGCGGGATATACTAGGCTTGTTTGGTTTGCTTTGGTATATTTATCTAAGGGCTTGTTTGTTAGCACCTTAATGAGCTTAACGGGACTCACAACTTATTTCGTTAGCTATACGTGACTGTTTGGTAGTGGTTTAATGATATAGAAAGTGACTTATTTAATAAGCTTTTTTTTTTGGGGGGGGGGGGGGGGGGGGGGGGGGGGCTTTATGCAGAAAGCCAAGTTTTTTCCAAACCCGCCCCTCCAAGTTAAAAAAAAACACTTACCTCTTCCAAACAAAAACTTTCCTAATCTATACAGACATATTTATCCATAACAGAACTTGATGAAAAAACCCTTACTGCAAGCTTATTAGCCAATTAATTAGTTTGTGAACGCCAAAAATTGCATGTCACGGCCTGCATCTTCCAAGTTATGTTTGTGGATATGCATTTCTCGGTTCGACCTATAACACTTATAATACATATATACATATACGTTTGCAGGCAGTCTACGACCATGACTTCTTTAGCATGGACGACAAAATGGGAGACGCGGAATTTTACATACAACCGTTTTTGGAGGGGCTAAAGATGAATCTGAAGAACCTCCCGAGTGGCACCGTTATAAAGCGGATAAAACCTAGCAAGTCAAATTGCCTGGCCGAAGAGAGCTGCATAACCTGGCGAAACCACGCTGTCGTCCAAGATATGTGTCTGAGGTTGAGAAACGTCGAATGTGGTGAAGTCGAACTCGAGCTCCATTGGATCAATGTTCCGGGTTGCAAATTGGTTTAGAACTAAACACCCTTGATGCATTTCATGTGTGGTAAATTTGCTCGATTCTTGGTTTGTCTGTCTACGGTTTACGTCGAATATTGTATTTCGAATACCCAGAGTTACTGAGTCGATAGTACTCGATCTCATTATTTGTTTTGTGAACACGGATGGTTGTTTTAGCTTGAATTACGCAACAACGTCTCCAGCAGCTTCTCCAAAACGGAGAAAAATGAAATTTTTTGCGTTTTTTGGTTTTTTTTTTTTTTTTCTCGAACTTCTTCAAAACGGAGAAAATAGGAACGATGTTGGATGGAAAATTCTCCAAAAAATCCGTTTTGATAATCCTAACATAAAAACATAAAACCAAGTAATAAAATAAGGGTATAAAGTGTAAGTATTAAAAAAATAATTTGTATGTATTTATGGTATTTAATAATAAGATTAAAGGGTCATATACGGGTCGATTCACTCGGCTAATACACCACACTCATATCCACTCAGTCATTACTTTTTCCCAAGTACCCCTCTCCCCAAACACATCAACCATCCTTCTTCAGCTTCGATTGCTCGTTGAATCCTCAATCTCACATAACTTCGGTTGCTCCTGCTCACACGACTTTGATAGAGAGAGGGAGTTCGACTAGAGAGAGATCGGTGAGGCAAGCCGAAGAGGGGGGGGGGAGATCGGTGAGCGGGCAAGCCGAAGAGAGGGGATGCGAGAGAGAGATCGATGAGGGGGGCAAGCCGTTAGCGAGCAAGATAGAGAGAGTTCGAGGAGGCAGCCATCAACAGACAGCTTTATTTTACAGCTTTTTTATAATTAAAATTTATTTACTCAATATTTTTTATCAAACACTACAAAAATATAGACCGGGGATAAAGTGGTCATTTCTGACATTCGAACAGTTTATTCAGCACGACAAACGAACAATGACTTATTTGTTATTATACAGACAATTATGCCAATACATACATCTTTATCCATACGTGTCTTAATAGAAATCGAACCGAACCACCCCTTAGTGGACTAAATGCCATGATGGACCCAATGCAAAGCATACGCTGGCCCGTGCCACCGTATTGTAAAAAATTACAAGGTCGTGAAAAATGTCACTGTATTAACTTATTGTATGTCAATGTATATATTTTGAAACTACATTGTGAACACAAGTTTTTCTTGATAAAGTTTGGTATGCACAACTTTTCTTCCATATTAGACCCGAGTTCGAATACCTTTAGTGCAATTTTCTTAGTTTTTGGGGTTGTTTGTTTCTCTTAATAGTTTTATTAAGAGACAACACTTGAATCGTCACAAAAAGACATTTGGCCTAGCGGTATGTGAGTATTTGGCCTCCTAAGAGGTTAGAGGTTCAAACTTCACCAAATGCGATAAAGGTGTCTGAGCTTATTTGTTCTATTTGCCGTATATAAATATTATACACTTAAAAAAAATCTGAATCGTTAAGAGGTGAATGTTGTTTGACAAAAGAAATATTTGTTTTTTAATGGTTCCAAAACTCTCTGACTGTTTTTGTATCTTCAACCTCCTTACCAAACAACCCCTTTAACTTTAAATTTCAGATCTACTATCTTTTAAAAAAAAAATTGTAATAGAACACTTGAACATTAGCAATAGATCTGATATCATGTGAGACCAACATATTTTCGTGAGATTATTTTTTTACATTTAAAACTTCATAATAAAAACATTATGAATATTCAATATTTTGCTATAAAATTTTACGTATAAATCTATATATGGTTTGGGACAATGAGTATAAAAAGTAGTAAAATTGGAATGGTGAAGGTATTGGTCAGTGACAGTCAAATCGATAATGGCGGAAAGTAAAAGGAGGTAGGCTAGAATCCAACCCTCTTTCGAACCCCAAAATCCAGCAAACCGTCAAACTACCGTGCTCATAGATCTTCATACGAAACCCTAATGGTATGAAACAATGGTGTTTAAAGGTAGATTCTTCTATTCAAAGAAATCATCCGACATTTCAAGCCCCGAGGGATCCAACAGCCCTCGATCCATCGGTTCTAATTCCAGTTCACCTATCAGATCCGACAAGAAGAAGGCTAAATCCGCAAGCAAAGACGAACTTCACCCGCCGACCACCACCGCCGGTTCTTCGTTTCGTCAAAATCAAGTCAAAGATGCTTCCAATTCAACTTCGGTTTCTAAGCAGCAGAGTCGGAGTAAGAAGGATGGTGTTCAAGGCATTGAATCCAAGGTTCAAAATACGAATTCGATTACTGAAAAACCTAATTTGGGAGGAGGATCATCTAAGTTGACGAGGAAAGGGGCGGCCGATGGTCCTGCTACGGTTTCCCCAATTTTGGCTTCTTCACTTGGTTTGAATCGGATCAAAACGAGATCTGGACCGTTGCCTCAAGAGAGTTTCTTTGGGTTTAGTAAAGATAATAATAGCAAAAACAAAGTTAGTAGTAGTAGTAGTAAAATGTCTTCAATTGGTGTTAGTAACCTTTCGAAATCGAAAACCAGTGATGGTGGTATCGGGAGTGATTTCAAGGAGGGATTTGCTACTGATAAGAAGAAGATGTCTTGTTCTTTGTATAATGATGATGGTAGCAATTCAAACAGTATGTCCATTGAATGCTTGCCGTCAAGGGATCACACCCCTAATGTTTTAGGTCGTTCTCGATTGCAGAACGGAGAATCTTCCTCTGAAGCTGGTATGAATTCTTGTACACCTCATTGCCTTTTATCCAATGTGTAGTTTCCTACTAGCGGAAGTTTACGGTATAAGCCGCTTTCTAAATCATTAAGCCGCTACCAAACAGTCATGTATAGCTGACCGGATAAGTGTGAGTCTCATTAAGCCTATTAAGCTGCTAACAAACATGCCCTAAGTGGTATTATGCTTCATGCCATTGCTGGTTTTAGAGCTGTCTTCTTTGCTACTCAATTGTATGTTCTTCATTTTCCAACATTTTCAGAGTTCCATAATTAAGAACACTAGATATTACATTAGCTAGTCAGCTTCTTAGACCAAAAGTTGTTGAACACTCAAATTCATAGGTATTTTGGTGACTTAATGGCGCCATTCACAAATTAGTTACCACTCAAGTGACATTGCTTAGATCCATGTTCATTTAATATAGGGATTTCTAGAAATATCTCAGCTTTTACCTTAGGTAAATTAACGATAAGTTATATGATACCCACATTTGTCCTTATTGCGGATGTTACACCCCTTAATGCATGTCCACTAGTAAAGGAATCGTGAGGAATATCTAAGATATAATATAATAAATGGATATAAGATTATATTCTGTCCGGTGATGAAATGTTGTGCCAACTGCCAAGTAGAGAAGTAGTTGCATCTTACGATTGATATAATTATTTAGCTTTATCTTGAACATTGAGTTTAAAATCTACGTGCTAATACTCATAGACAGTCATATAATAAGTCTCATGTTGTTAACTATGAAGCACCTTGAAGTTATTTCTCTGTTCCCATCTGTATTAGGACAAGCATTTGAAAGAAATGAAATGCCTGATAAAATCATAGAAGAGTTCTAGAAATACAATAAATTAGTTATTGAAACACAAGTCTTGAAGGAAGTCATGAGAAGTGATGTTCAAATTTCAATAACAGTAATCACTGGACTCTAAATTATTTCTCCTCTAGTTGTGTCTTTTTGTAAATTCTTCTTCAGGGATTTTTGTAGATATTTTCTACTACAGAATTGTTCACCTAGTTACGTCATATCATACTTGTAAATATAGGGATCAGTAACAAGAAGTTTATTGCTTTTATCATCTTATGAGCTAATTCATCTAGGTTAGAACTTGAGACAAGTTCTAACATGCTTGAGTATCCTTGAGGTCATTTAACATTTCAACGTCTTAATCTTTGGAGGTTCGTTTTGCACCTTGAGCTCATCATATGCACAAGCTAGGGAGTAGATCTTACTGTTTTTGAACATGAACCAGAATCGTTAATGATGTATTGTAGCTTCTAGTGAATTCAGGCCATTTTATGCTTATTGGTCAGAATGGCAAATTGATAATATTCCTTAATCCTTATTCAAGTCCACTTACACTCAGGTTCTACATTCTGTTTAACTCATGTCTCTGTACATATAAAGGCAGTTAACTGTTGTGATTCCAAATTAAGATTTTAATGAAAAAGTCAAAATTGGGTTTCTTGAAGCTCTCAAGTGATAATAAATTTAATCTGATCACGTTGCACATGAAAAGGATGTCTGTTAATACGTTCTAATTTTTTATGTAAGATATTTGGCTTAAAACATCTTTAAAGTGTTTAATAATTGATTATAGGTATTAATCCATCATCTAGAGAAGTTCCATGTTTAACCTTTTTTAGCTTTTCCTTAATAATGAACTTATGAGGTGCTGTACTACTAATCCATCCGTTACTTAATAAACCATCAAGGAATTTAACTCTTAGTGTTTACACCAAAAAAGTTTAGCTAACAAACTAACATTGTGACTAATAGGAACATTGTAAATTGCCCACCCCCATGATTTTTTACTGTTCATAGATCACAGCAGACGATGCATTGCAGTTTGTCAACATCGAACCTCCAAAGATTAAGACCTTGAAGTGTTACAACTATCTTTTGAGGTTCATTGGTAGGGGCATAAAACATAGATCACAGCAGATAACGCGTTGCAGTTTGTCTAGTGTGGTTTGTAGGTTCTATTGGAACTTTTGCTACTGTTAAAAATGAACTTTATCATGGTTCTAACCCCCCTTTTGTCTCGTTTAAAATCTATTTGTATGAGCCTTGCGAGCTACCAAACTGCTCTACCCCGCGCCGAAGAGAAGAACTGAAAACTAATAGACAAGCAAGGATTGAATGCGCCCCTCTACCATATCTGTACAAATAGAATAGGTTCTAGTAACATTTATAAGATAGCTATCCAGCACCTAGAAGCCCCACGTAGAACTCCATTGTAGTCATAGATGATCAAAGATGATGTTCAAACTTAAACTTGAATAATTAGACAAAGTGTTCTCTGGTGAGCCTCTGAAATTTTTTCCAGTTTTTAGGCACTGCAAATATGGAAATACTATCCATAAATGGCAGTAGTTTTTTATGGGAATCTAGCTCAGGTTTTAGTTGTCACATGAGAATACAAAGAAATGATTTGTAAGTGTGAATCTATTCTATTTCTATTGTCAATGCACTTGAAATATAAATGACTAGAAAGTTATGACAATCTTTATGTAGTGGTTATGTGATGTAGTACACATTTATTTTGTGTTGGTTATTTATTTTTATGCGTACAAACCTATAGCATTCATTGGGTTAATTTGATATGGCTTATCCAATATGGATAAATTGACTTCTGTTGGTAACTTTCAGGTTATGTTATTGTGGGAAATTGTACACTAATGTTTGCATTAAACATGTATAATTTTGTTATTTGTACTTGTTGTATAACAGTCCATTGCAATTCTATTACTTTGTGTTCAAGTAAGGTAAATGTTTATAGCTCATCTTGGAAACCAAATAAAGGAAAGGAGCTGAAGATATTAAATGATCACATCTGAAACTAGTTATTATAGGAAATTTTGGAACTCCCTTTACTTATATGGTGTAAAATGTTATCAAATTTGATTGAATCCTTGTAACGATTTGGGTTACTCAACTAACATGATAGGGCAAATGAATTTGAGGGGATGCTCTGAAGGCTTGAGGAGTTCAGATGATTGTACTCCGGAGATGAAGGTAAGTTGTTGCAATGAAGTTGGCGTTGGCAGTTTTATTATTATAGTGAATTCAGTTCTTCATTTTTTATAATTGAAAAATTAGTTACTGCCTTTGTAGACATCATTTGATTGTGAAAACCCAAAGGAATCTGAGTCACCCCGCTTTCAAGCTATTCTAAGGGTCACAAGTGCACCTAGAAAGAGATATCCTGCTGACATCAAAAGTTTCTCCCATGAACTGAACTCAAAAGGTGTACGGCCTTTCCCATTATGGAAGCCTCGTGGTTTAAATAACTTAGAGGTAAACAGATATTTTCCCTGAAACTATCTTGTGGTGGGCACTAATTCCAATTTCTTATTGTTTTCGCCACTTCATTTTGAACAGGAGGTTTTGGTGATGATAAGAGGAAAATTTGACAAAGCAAAGGAAGAGGTAGATTCCGACCTGCATATATTTGCGGCAGATCTGCTTGGAATTCTGGAGAAGAATGCAGAAAGTGAACCAGAATGGCAGGAAACTTTAGAGGACCTACTGGTTTTGGCTCGGAGTTGTGCTATGACATCCCCTGGAGAGTTTTGGCTGCAATGTGAGGGCATCGTTCAGGATTTGGATGATAGGCGTCAGGAACTTCCAATGGGCATCCTGAAGCAGCTTCATACTCGTATGCTTTTCATACTCACCAGATGTACAAGGTTGCTACAGTTTCACAAAGAAAGTGGGTTGGCTGAAGATGAACTTGTCCTTCAGCTCCGACAATCTTTGCATTCTGCGGATAGAAGTATTCCTCCAAGCATAAGAAGGGATGATATTTCCAGTGCTTCAAGAGGCTCAAAAACGGCATCAACAAGGAAATATTACAGTCAGGAACAGCACGGATTGCATGGCTTGGATTGGAAGAAAGACCAGGCTAAGCAGCCTGACAATTATTTCTCTTCACCTCCTGTAGAATTAGCTAAGGACTTAGATTCTCCCACAGGCAGAAACCGTATGTCATCATGGAAGCCATTGCCATCCCCTGGAGGAAAAGTCCCCAACCAAGTTGCTCCGGTGAAGGATGTGAGCGATAATAAGACTGATGCTTCCAAGAGGCTGAATGACAAGAAGGTAGCTTCTCATGTGGATTTGACTAATGCTATGCTTCCGGAACTTCCTTCTGCTAAAGATTCACATGCACAATCTACCACTCCTTTTAAGCATCAGCACAAAGCTTCATGGGGATGGGGAGATCTATCAAATACTGGTGATGAAAGTTCTATAATTTGTCGGATATGTGAGGAAGAGGTTCCTACGTTACAGTTGGAAGATCATTCTAGAATTTGCGCAATTGCTGATCGATGTGATCAAAAAGGTCTCCGTGTTGATGAACGGCTGGTCAGGATTTCAGAAACTCTTGAGAAGCTGATAGAATCCCTTACACAGAAGGATTTTCAGCATGCTGTTGGAAGCCCAGATGGTGCAAAAGTATCGAATTCAAGTGTTACTGAAGAATCTGATCTGTTCTCCCCAAAACTCAGTGATTGGTCTCGAAGAGGATCAGAGGACATGCTTGACTGTTTTCCAGATGCTGATAATTCCATTTGCATGGATGACCTGAAAGTTTTGCCATCCATGCCTTACAAAACACGTTTCGGTCCCAAGTCTGATCAAGGAATGACAACCTCCTCTGCTGGTAGCATCACTCCTAGGTCGCCATTGTTGACACCTAGGACCAGCCATATAGACTTGTTGTTGGCAGGAAAGGGTGCTTACTTGGAACATGATGACATTCCACAGGTAGTTCTCTATATAATCCATGTTTTGCTTTCACTAATTACTAATGATTGCATATATACATAAGGCTATCTGTAGTGGTCCATCAATAAAGCTCTTTGTGTTTATATTCAATGTTTTTTGTTTTATGTTGACCTGCTCTTATTTTATGATCAATTAAAAGTACAATGCATCTTCATCATGGCTTGGATGCTGTTATATAACATTTGATCCTTGGTGTGTAACAGATGCCTCACATCTTGTTTAAAGATCGGTGATGACTTAAACCAATCAAGAACATGCTGTATATATTTGTAAGAGTGCAGATCTAGACGATTACAGAAGGAGCCTACAATTAGGGCATACTAAAAAATATGACAGCAAAAAATGGACTCAAATACAGAAGGATCCTACAATTAAGGCTTACTAAAATAACTTAGTGACATGAATGACACCCTCTAGAGGGATGGGACATGCCTAGTGCTTTTCCCAATGAAGATTTTCAAAAAGTAACTGTGAAGCAGTGATATTAACGGTTTCTTCCAGGACCATGCCTGGTTGTCTGAAGCTTTTCGTAGATGGTTTATTTGCACATGTGAAACGTTTTTCCTATCATATGTTATTTTATCTACCTTCTATAGCATGTTTGTGTGAATGTGCAAAAACCTTCTTAGAAATTAGGATATATAGATTCTTTGATTGATGAATGACCATGACATTTCCATGCTGAGGATTCTTTTTCTAATGATGTAGATGAATGAGCTTGCTGATATTGCTAAATGTGCTGGAAATACGCCCTTAGACGATGACCGCAGCCTGTCATATTTGCTAACTTGTCTTGATGATCTGAGGGTTGTCATCGACCGCAGAAAATTTGATGCTCTTACTGTTGAGACATTTGGAGCACGGATAGAGAAGCTCATACGGTGAGACCCTTATCATTGTTTTGATTCCATATAGATTTTTTCGAGAGAAAATTGTATCTTATCACAGGAGGTCTGCATTTGGAATCTGTTTTCTTGCAGCATTCATGCTTTTACAAAAGTATACCTGCAATGCAGTCATCTAGCTTTCAATTTAACACCTTCACAGTTTCCTAGAAGCTGTGTAGATAAATTTATTGAAATGTTTTGTTCTACTTCCACCCAGAAAAGAACTCCCATCTGCTTGTCCTTCATACATAATAATCTATTTATTTCTAGGGAGAAGTATTTGCAGCTATTTGAGTTGGTTGACGATGAAAAAGTTGATATCACAAGTACCATCATTGATGAAGATGCTCCACTGGAAGATGATGTGGTGCGTAGCCTTAGAACCAGCCCCATACATTCAGGGAAGGATCGCACCTCAATAGATGACTTTGAGATTATAAAACCAATCAGTCGTGGAGCATTTGGCCGGGTCTTTTTGGCAAAAAAGAGAACAACAGGGGATCTCTTTGCTATCAAGGTACATTGAAATTGCTGTATTACTGTTAACGTGTCTCTAGACGTCATTATTTTTTGTATTATTTTTGGTATTATTTTTGGTTTCTTGAGCTGCTCATTATTGTAGTATAGTATTAAATTCACGGTTGTTTCTTGCACTGTATTTTGCAAGATTTTAAAAGGCGGAAAAAAGGCCTCGAGGCTTTTTCCCTCAACGAGGCGGTCCGAGGCGAAAATATATATACACCAAAATTTGTATATATACTACACAAATATATATAAACATTTATATACAGTATATATAATACAAAATTACTAAGGGCGCTTGGTCAGTGGTTCTTGATAGAGGAAAGAGTGAAACCATGACATAGGCTGAGAGGGTGTGGAAAAATTGGTGGCTTGGGAGAAGAGGAAGATTACCCTCACTTTTTAATTAAGAGGAGAAAGTACTACTGTAAAATATTAAGAGTAAACATTTGGGCCATTATGCTTTGACTTTTAGTTTTTTAAAATTAAAAAACACATTTATACTATAAAGAGAAGTGTATGCCTCGACGCCTCACCGTACTGCCTTACTGAACCAAGGCATAAGCCTTGTCCTGGGTCCAAGAGGCGCCACCTCAGGCGCGATTTTGGGCTGCCTCGCCTCGAGGCATACGCCTCAAACGATTTTTTAACCATAGTATTTTGTATGCTTTAAGATGTTCTTCCAAAACATGGGAGCCGTTCCGTTATTGTTACGACGTAATATGCTCTTATACTATTTTATGACTGCATGTACAGGGACGGTGGCAATACTTTAGATAGGAAGAAGAGACATCTGAACTTGCTATACGTAGTCTTCGAGTATTCTGGTTTCTTGGTCCTTTAGTTTAACTGAAGTTATATTATTATCTATATTCTCTTGCAGGTCCTTAAGAAGGCTGACATGATCCGTAAAAATGCTGTTGAGAGTATATTGGCTGAGCGTGATATTTTGATATCAGTGCGCAATCCTTTTGTGGTAAGGACCTTAGCTTGCAACATATTTCTTTACCTTAAAGATAGCTCTATTCTTCTTAATGAACATCATCTTGTTTCAGGTTCGTTTCTTTTATTCTTTCACTTGTCGTGAAAATCTATACCTTGTTATGGAATATTTGAATGGTGGCGATCTTTATTCATTGCTGAGAAATCTTGGCTGCCTAGATGAAGATGTTGCTCGTGTGTACATTGCAGAAGTGGTAAGTTTTTTGCTTTTGTTGAACCATGAGTATTGATATCTGGTCATACTTAACATGATGTTCATTGTGTGCAGGTGCTTGCTTTGGAATATCTTCATTCTCTACGTGTTGTTCACCGTGACTTAAAACCAGATAATTTGTTGATTGCGCATGATGGTCATATTAAGGTATGTACTTCTAACATGTTTTGTGTTTTAAAATGTAATTATACAAGGATACGGTTTTAATAAGAAATGTTGCTTTTTTATTTATGGTAATGGGAAATCATCTGTAACTACAACAGCGGTTGATTGTAAGGAATTAAGAGCCTATGAAGGTAGTTGGGGTTGGTTTTTAAATAGGAAATTACATAAGAAGGTCTTGATGAAGTAAATATAAAAGATAGCTTCAGGTATAGATGATAAATTATGAAAAAATTACATTGGTCAAGACACCTGAATTCAAGAATACTCCTGTTTTGCGAGATATTGATCACTATATGACCTTTGGAAAGATTGTTCAAAGTGTTTCGAACTGATATACTTCATCTTTCAAATCCGAGTGTACCTTCTTCGTACTTATCTTTTTACTAGTTTTAAATATAATGAGAGTGCCATCCTCTTGTTGCATGAAACACACGCAGAATTGCAGTCCCCATTGAAAGTACATTCGATCGTTCCACAGTGGTTCTTATATGTTGATTTTATTTTTATCTTCTTGTTTACATTGTGAAGAACTGCAGTAGGATACCGGTTATTAATTCTCTTTATCAATAAAAAAACTTCAACTATACCATATGTAGTATGCACCATTATACATTTATGTTCTCTGTATAATATTTTTCTGCTGTCTTCTTATGTCCTGGTCCTTACGCACATTCTCTTACCTTTGCTTTCGTTATTCATAAGGAAACAATTGATTAAATTATTCAAAATTAGCAAAACAGGACTTCTGCTAGCTTATATTATATATTTAATCCATCTTTAAAACATGTTTATCATTGTTTACAATTCAATTTAATAGATATTGTTCTTTGTGCTAATCGTACACAATTCTTTCATGGGTTATGCAGTTGACTGATTTTGGGCTCTCAAAAGTTGGTCTGATTAACAGTACAGATGATTTGTCTGGCCCAGCAGTTATTGGCACATCACTATTGGGAGAACATGAATCTCAATCATCTCTATCTGAAAATCAGCAAGAAAGGCGTAAAAAGCGGTCTGCTGTGGGTACACCTGACTATTTGGCACCAGAGATACTTTTGGGAACTGGACATGGTTTGTTGATGAACATATATTATATGGTCTCTTATATTATCTTGCTAAGCTATTTCACATGAAGTATGCACACCGCAGCTCAAAGAGTTGGTCCAATTGCTTTCAAACTTTTTAAAACATGCCCGGGATTAAACTGAAGTTTGAAGTTTTCTATTTAGTTTTTTATTGCTGTCATTTTGTCATGAATGGTACTTATTCTTACCATTTTCAAATTTATATCTTGCTCTTTATCCGCTATAAAGCCTCTGCCAAATTCCCATTAATTGATCAACTGTATCCTGCTACCAAAATAGTTTTTTTCTTTCTAAAAGCTGTTTATCGTCTTCTTTTAGGTACATCGGCGGACTGGTGGTCAGTTGGTGTGATACTATTTGAGCTGATCGTTGGCATTCCTCCCTTCAATGCTGAGCATCCTCAGGTTTATTGCTTGTTCCTAATATATGCTTTCTTTTGTTTGCTATGGCCACTGAAGAAACCTTCTAGGCATTAAACGATCTCCACTACTCTGATTAGTTAGACCCACTTAAATTGAACCATTTATGCTTCTGCTTAATTACCTTTTACTTGAATTAAGCGTACTTGAAGGGAATCTTGACAATCTTTTTTAAGAAATTGTATCAAGGGTACAACAAAACTAGACATATGGAAAGGTAACTATCAATATGACAATATAGAAACCAAAGGGACTTTGGCCTAGCTGTATGTGAGCCTTTCTCCTCCTAGGAGGTCAGGGGTTCAAACCAGTTCAAACCTCACTGAAAGTGAGGGTGTGTGAGTTTATTTGTTACATTTCCCGTATATAAATATTATATACTTCAAAAGAAATATGACAATATAGTATAGTATCGAAAATGTTAATTCTCATATGCGGACATAATCTTTTATTATTTATGCTGTATGTATTTGTTAAGAGCATCCCTTTCTCAAAATCTACAGACCCCCAGCCTGCCACTTCTTAATATGAATTTTGTTGTCGCCATTTTTCCCTTTTAAACTGACTTATGCTTTTGAATATAAAGGTTATTTTTATACTGACAATGAAATCAAAGCAGGGGGGAGCCACTCTATTGGATACGGTGGCATGGGCCACCACGTTGTTCCTCTATTGTATGTAGGGTACAAAATTATAGGGTTGTGAAAAGTGCCACCGTATATATTTTGAAACTACAATGAGGACACAAGTTTCTCTTGGTAGAGTTGGTTTGCAAGGCTTCTCTTCCACCCAGACCTGAGTTCTAATCCCGTTAGTGTCATTTTCTTAGTTTTTAGCTTTTAATTTCAGATTTATTACGTTTTTGAAGGAAAAAAATTGCAATAAAAGACTTGAACACAGGACCTCACATATGAAAAGCAATGAAACTAACCAATAGGCCGATGATGATTTTGTGAAAAATATCCACATTTTTGTTTCTTATAGTCAAATGGTGCCACCACTTGAAAAAATTTCTAGGTCCGCCTCTGAATCAAAGCACTTTTTGCAATGATGTAATGTATCCTAGCGGCACCTATGAGGAGATTTCGGGTTCTCTGTGTTTTGATGTTATTGATCTTCTTGCATTTTATCTTGTTGATTTTTATCCGCCTGTTATTTGAGTTAACCTGCTTTTCAATGTACTCTGATCTTGTTGCTTACTTGATATCGGTATTTTCTTATTTGGTTCAGACGATATTTGATAACATTCTCAATCGTAATATACCCTGGCCTGCAGTACCTGATGAAATGAGCCCGGAAGCCCAGGATCTAATTGATCAGTAAGAAAAACTTCATAACTTTTTTTTTCTGCTATCGGTATATATGCTTTAACTTATATTAATGTGAAAACTAAACACGTAAAGAAGAAAACTATCTTGTTTTTATACATGAATTTACACAACTCTCTGTTGATTATTATTGACAGAAACTAATCTTCATTGTCCCCAAACATCTAAACTAACACATTTATAAGATATCTAATGACAATAGGACATACCAAAATGATGCCCTAGTGAGACAACATCCTTGAGGGTGCGTTTGGTACACTGGAATAGACAAAACAAAACAGGGATCATGGTTCCACGTTTGGCAGGACTTTTATGTGGCACATAGAGGAACAAAGTGGACCAGGCGTGTTCCACCCCCACCCCATTGAACAAGGTGGAACAAACCTATATTTTACCAATATAACCTTAAAAAAACCTAATTCTCTTTTAAAACATCAAATATGCCTCCCTCTTTACATTTTGTTCATTCTTTAAATTTTATTTATTGTATTTAATGCTCTTTAAACTTCACTTTACTGTCCTCATATTAATTTTATACCCTTTTTATATTATTGATTAATTTATGTAATTTATTAAATATTAATAATAAAAATATATAGAAAAGGTATAAAATAGAAATTGGAAACTACACAAACCTTTTATTTTGGTGTCATTTTAATCATCTTGACAAAAACTTTCTAATGATAGATTTTATAAAAATATTTATTTTATTATAATTTAAAAAATTACATAAATTAATCAAAATATATAAATGACTCATTAGGGGTAAATTGGTCATTTTATCTATCCTATCCTGTCCTGTCTAGTTTTGTCTTACGGTCTTACCAAACGTTGAACAATTGTTTTGTTCTTTTCTATCCTATCTGGATACCAAACGCACTCTAATGCATATATTTTTTGGAATTTACCCTGGAATTTGATATTCTTAAAAAAATAGTAGCATTTCTTAAGGTTATGAGTTGAACGTAAAATTTCTAAATTATTACTAGTCTAAAAGAATAGAATATATTATAAAGGGTTAGCAATAGTATGTGATGTTCCGTTCAATGTTGAATCTCAAAATAACAAGGTCATTTTATACTCTGATCTTCTGTGAAAATTTCCATGATCTATTATAAATGCATGTTTAACAAACTTAATTAATTTATTTCTTTGAATTCCTCCTCATATATGCAATCACTTTGCAGATTATTGACAGAAGATCCTAACCAGAGACTTGGAGCTAGGGGAGCAACTGAGGTTTTGTTGGTTCTTTTTTTTTAATCGACATTGCTACATATTCTGGGATTGAACACAAACGCCAAATAATTTCATGCCAAACGATATGCAGGTGAAGCAGCATCAGTTCTTCAGGGATATTAACTGGGATACACTTGCAAGACAGAAGGTGTGTGTGAGATCTCCATCTGTTGTGTGTGTGTGTGTGTGTATATATATAGGGTTAGGTTCAGAGGAAAACCGCAAAAAAAATAAAAAACTGAGGAACACCTTGGTAACCGCTCATTTGGACCGTATGCACATGTGCTTACAAGTAATTTGCAAGCAGTTTGTCCAGTATGCACTGTGCATAACATGCACACGTGCATAAAAACCAAAAACTGTTTCAGTTACTTGTATGCACATGTGCATACTGTCCAGATGAATGCTTACCATACCAGGGTGTTCCTCAGTTTTCATTTTTTTGGGGGTTTTCCCTTGAACCTCCCTCTTTCTCTCTCTCTCTCTCTCTCTCTCTCTCTCTCTCTCTCTCTATATATATATATATATATATATATATATATATATATNTATATATATATATATATATATATATATATATATATATCCACGTATGAATATAACATGCCTCGGCCTTTTGATAGAATGCACAAGCACCGATCTCAAGGGGGTATAGGATGATTTGTGAGACTTGGAGGGCCAGTTAGTATTAATAGTTGTCTTTTATTATTAGGACATCTTCTAATATGCTATTTGAATTATGGTAAGTTTAGGAATCTTGAGTATTTATAGGTGATTAAGGTAAGGTTTTGGGGGAGGAAAAAATGAGTTTGAGAGTCTTGGGAGATCACCTACTTCTCGAATTATACGCATTATCCTTGTAATTTTCTTTCATTCATAAATCATAGATAACTAAAGTAAGAGTCCAGTTGCGTTCTTATCAGAATACTTGTGCGGAGTTGTTCTTGTACTGATGTTGCTTTTATTTTTCAGGCCGCATTTGTTCCTTCTTCAGAGAGTGCACTAGACACGAGTTATTTCACAAGTCGTTACACTTGGAATACCTCAGAAGAACATGGATATCCCGCTAGTGAAACCGAGGATTCTAGCGACAATGGTAGCATGAGTGGTTGCAGTAGCTGCCCGAGTCATCACCATGATGAAGTGGTCAGTAGCTTTATTACTTACGGGATGTTTACTTTTTTCTATTAAGCCTGAATGAGTTCGGTTGTCTCTCTGTATAATTTTGTATGTCTGAGGAACGGGACAATGGGACCGATGGGTTTGAGGGAGGCAAAGAGAAGAGGGTTGGATTATTTTTAGGGCATTTCTGGTATTAATTTGTTTGATGTGGCTTAATGGGAACATGTGAGGGGTCCTGGCTTATTCCATATAGCCATTTTGGCTTAATGGTTGTTTGGTTGGTCTTCCATCAAGTCCTGCATGAATAAATATGATTGTGTGGATTAATCCGTCTGTATAGAGGGGAGGGTTTTTGTTTGGCAGAGTTTTTTCATTTATGGAAACAACATATTTTTTAGTTGGTAGGGGCAGCTTGGACAAAACTTGGCTTTCTGCATAAAGCTCCCACTAGAAGCTTACCGAATAAGTCACTTTCTATATCATTAAGTCATACCATGTATAGCTGACACGATATATCATTAAGTCAAACCATGTATAGTTGACATGGTATGACTTAATGGTCTGAGTGGCTTATTCGTAAAGAAATACTCTTGTATGACTGATCGAATAAGCCACTCAGATCATTAAGCTCATTAGACTGTAAGTAAACATCCCCTTAGACATTTACAAGATTAACCGCTCGGTATTTATCCTTTTGCTTATGGTGGCACTTTCTAGCAGGTCGATGAGTATGGTCCTGCCGAACTTGGATCGCCGTCTGGTGTCAACTACTCGTTTAGTAATTTCTCCTTCAAGGTACTCCTTCCCCCTAAGTCTCTATTAATTGTTTTCAGTTACGGTATTATTGTTGCAACATGCATAATTATTCATAAAGAAGGGGCGTTTGGTTCGTAGAATGTTTTTTTAAAAGAATGGAATCTATCAAAGGAATTTGAATTTACTAAGAATAGGAATAGTTTGTTATCAGGTTTGAGCAAGTGTTTGGTTGGCAGGAAATGAAATGTATTCCATCAAATTAATTGGAATTTGTGTGTATGGTTCACATGATGTAGCTTTGGAATGGGAATAAAATAATGAAAACGACCAAAATACCCTTTCTATAAATTTGCTTCTTACTTTTTTCTTATTATAAGTAAGAGTAGATTACGATTTCCGTCACTGTGGTTTGTTAATAATTTTGATTTTTGCCCTTATGGTTTAGAAATTACGGTTTTCGTCCCTATCGTTTGCAATATATTGCTTTTCCCTGGACTAATTCCAACTTTTAAAGTACAAGGAACCAAAACAGTAAAGAATTGTGAGCCACATGGATCGAAAGAACACCAAATTGTAAACCATAAGGACGAAAATAGCAATGAGTTACAAACCATAGGGACAAAAATCGCAATTTTTAACAAACCACAGGGACAAAAAAACATAATTTACTCTAAATAATAATACTAATATCATCATTTATAAAGAACGCAAGGAACGGATTTCAATTCGTTTCAAAAGTTGAACCAAACAAAGGAATTTGGTCAACGGAATCGACCATTCCAATTCTTTTGGAATCTCACGAACCAAATACCACTTTATGATTCTCATTCAAATTTTCTCCTAACGATATATCTTCCTGTACCGTTCCAGAATCTGTCCCAACTCGCTTCTATCAATTATGATCTGCTTACAAAAGGATTGAAAGACGATCAGCTGACAAAACCCAACGTATAGTTACCTGTCGATGCACCCTGAGAGAGCTGAATGGGGGCAGGGGCATGGATGTAAATGTAAGTCCATTTTTACCCTTTGTTTTTTCTCTCATATACCCTCTCTATCCCAAAATAAGTGTACACTTGCAAAAGTAAAATGTCTACTTTCCTATTCTACCCTTAATTATGAGGTGGAGAAAATCTCTCTATAATTAGGAAGTAAAATTGTATTACAGTGAATTAAAAAAGTGTAATACTTGCATATTCCTAAAAGGGTAAATTGCATGAAAAAGTAACGTACTTTAACTTGATTTCTATTTTGGATAACGTACTTTCAAAACTTTCATTTTGATACCTAAGATGTAAAGTTTTAAACATTTAAGTATCCGGGTAACTGGTTGAAGCATTAATTGGTTAGATTAAAATATTCATGTCAGCAAATAATACCAAGTTGGATACCATATCACTCACCACATCAGTATGGTAACCGGTTAATGTTTCAACTGGGTACTTAAATGTTTAAAACTTTACATCTTAGGTACCAAAATGGAAGTTCATTACTCAAAATCGGAATCAAGTTAAAGTACGTTACTTTTTCATGCAATTTGTTCTTTCTAAAAATGTGTTCTTTTCATTGTGGACATTTGTGTTGCAATGGAGGGAGTACTTTTTTTCTTTGAATTTATCTTACTGATAAAAAACACAAATATTGTTTGCTTGTTCACAGATAGAAGTATAATTTTAAGAAATGGAGATACACAGCTTCTCAAGGTTTGTTTTCTTATCAGCATTGAGTGTGTGTGTGTGTGTGTGTAAAAGAAAGCTATTTAATTGAATTATTATTACACACACACACTGAAATGGGAAAAAAGAAAAAGGTATTACCAAATGCCCATTGCTTATGTTCATGTTCAGTGTCTCCAAATTTTGTGGTGTTTTTGTTGTTTGTTTGTAAATATGATAATTGACTCTTTCTATAATGGAATGTGATTCTGAAGTAGGTTTGGAATGGTTCGGATCTCTGGATCGTCTAAATCTTGATATCATCTGGTTATTTTCAGTTGGGCAAATTGTATGGAAAAACAATGTATTTTAACTTGATCCTTATTTTGGATAACGTATTTTCAAAATTTCATTTTGGTACCTAAGATGCAAAGTTTTAACAGTTAAGTACTCGAATGACGAGTGTATGCCATAGTGTACATCAAATGACGAAATGTTATGTTATCAAATAAAAATCTTACCAGATAAGAGGAATAACAAGAATCAAAAATCCTATCTGATGAGAGAAAAAGATTCTTAACCAATAAACGCTTATCGGGTAAAAGATGTTTATCAACAATTTATTTTTTGATTACTAAGGGTAAGGGTTTGTTTGTTTTTTTTAAATTACTTCTTAATACCTCTGAAGTTTGATTCATTCAGGCATTTAGATAGTAAGAGCGTTTGTTTTATTTTTTAAATAAGAGTTTAAAAACTTTAAATGTCCAAAAAATTTAAGTAGTAAATGTATCACTTAATACCTCTTAATCCTACTCTGCCTTCTATCGTATAGTTCATATTTTGGGGGATGAAAGAGATTTATAAACAAAAACTATTTATCCTTTATATTTTTACACTAGTTGATCGATTCAGACTTCAGACATAAAAACAATCTTACCAATCCATATTTCAGACTTCAAAACCACCTCTTACAAATCAAAAATAAAATCAGACCTTAACATCTCTTAAAAACAAACACCACCTAAGTAAAAGGATAGTGACTCTTGTCGATAAACACTTGAACAATAAAAATTTGGTAAATAGCTCTGAAATCCCAAACTTGCAACCAATAATCCCTTGACATAAAGAAGTGGTCTAAATTAGATGTAAATGGTATGCTATAACTTATACTGCAAATACAGTCTCCATATTATGATAAAATTAAATAAAAAACAATACATTTACAGTCTAAAAAAATCAAACCTCTTTAAACCATCCCATAAAAGGATATAACAAAGCTTATGACCAAAAAACCATTTGGATTAGAGATCTTAATTAATGGCGGGTACGCCATTGTTGTCGTTAGGCTGAGGTTGAGGAACTAATCCGCCCGCTGCCACCGCCGCTTGCCGCCGCTGCCGCTCACGAAGGTAAAGAACGGTCAAGAGGCAGACGAAAAGGGTGAGAATGGTTGCATTTCCTTCCTCCATTACCACATTCTTGATCCATTCTTCCACTTTTGGGTAAACACCAGGCAAAGAATCTATTAAATCAACCTGCAATCGAAGCCAAGACTCATTTCTGCTTCCATTCCAAAATAACTTTCTACATTTTTATTTATGTTTGTCTTTAAATATAAGCATCTAATTTTAAAAAAGAGATATCTAAATTTCCAAATCTACCCCCTAACTAATGTATAAATATCTAAGAGTTGATATGATAGATAGATGAATAAACTAAGGGTAAAGTTGTTAGTTGATTAACTAAAAACTGTAATAATCATGCATGTGTATAAATGTGTGCCAATTCTATTGTAGACACTTGTTTTAGGACAGGGGGAGTATTAGGGCAAGCTCGAGCCTGATGTCAATTTTTCGAGCCGAGCTCGAATAACTTGCTATTCGACTCGACTAAGCTCGTTTACACCCCTAGTAACTACCATTGTATGAAAAAATAACGTACTTTAACTTTATTCTTATTTTGGGTGACCAGTTACTTGAATGTTCAAAATTTTACATCTTAGGTATCAGAATGAAAGTTCTAAAAGTACGTTACCTGAAATAAAAATTAAGTTAAAGTACGTTACTTTTTCATGCATTTTGTCCATTTACATATCACATTTAAATATAGGACCCACAAAAATGAAATTCTTGTAATAGGCTACCATTGTGTTGTTTTATGGAGACACTTAATTGGTTGAGTCTGAATGACGTGGCCAAAAAAACTGTAAAAAAGAGGTTCTAATTAGTCACTCCATTGGAGATGCTCTTATGCCTTCAGGCTAGTAATGACAATTGTATGATTCAAACTAAGTCCCAAGCCTTGTACAAGAGCTAAAACTAGCCTAGTGGGTCCGTTTTTTGGTATACAAACGAGACTGGACAGATGAGAGTGAGATAGGAAGGTGAACAAATTCAAGGTCTTAATGTTTCAAATTTTAATTTCATATGGGTAGTTTAGTAATTTAAGAATCTTGCCCCGCACCAGCTCTTATGGAGACATACTTACAAAGACCTTTGTACCTATAAGGACACGGACGAGACTGGACAGATGAGAGTGAGGTAGGCAGGTGAACGGATTCCAGAAGCTCCTCGTGTTTTAAATTTTAATTTCATATGGGTAGTTCACCAGCTCGTACAGAGACATACTTACAAAGACTTGTGGACATATAAGGATACGGACGAGACTGGACAGATGAGAGTGAGATAGACAGGTGAACGGATTCCAGAAGGTATTAGTGTTTTAAATTTTAATTTCATACGGGTAGTTTAATAATTTAAGAATCTTGTCTAGGCAGATTTATTAAGGGGTCGTTCACCAAACGCTTACCGAATATGAGCTTACCAACAAGAGCCACCACCCTCACTTAGGATAACATTCTTGGCCATCAAAATGGATTATTAGTAAGCGTCTTTTACTTGGTAAGCGCTTACCGGGCTCACTCACCGAGTAGGATTCTCAGTCCTTGCTATGCCTCTTACCAGGTAAGATTTTTGTTATGCTCACCTGGTAAGGTACGTGACACTTGGTAAACAGCCCCTAAGTTCCTACCCTACAAATTTCTATTAGTTATGATCTATGAAATGTACAAGCAACACTCTAAGACCAACACACTCAGACAGGCGTGCAAGGGTAAGTGCTCAAATTTCAGAAAGATGGTTAAATAAGTAAAAGAGATCAATTATAAATCATAGGGGTATGGAAGTTCAGGTTGTGATAATCTGAAACATCCCGACCAACCGTATCATATATTGTCCGCTTTATCCACACCTTGACAGACACGTTTTAGAACCGTGAGTCTAGGTGTGAATAGAATGGACAATATCTGGTACGGTTGGTCGAGATGTTACAAATAGTATCAGAGTCGGGAACCGAACTGGTGTGCCAGCAAGGACACGCAACTCCTTTAAGGGACGTGGATTGTGAGATCTCATATCGGTTGGAGAGGGAAACAAAGGTTCTCTTATAAGGGACTGAATACCTCCTTTGTTAGACGTGTTCTAAAACCGTGAGTCCAGAAGTGGATAAAGCAGACAATATCTAGTATGGTTGTCCTGGGATGTTACAAAATCAAATACCAACGCGATCTTATTGACAGAATTAAAAAAAACATTCCTTCAAGTTGCATCGGCAAATCAAGAAAAATAAATGCTTAAATATGCACGCATATAATCCCATAAGAAAAGAAACTCACCAGAAAACTATTTGCATAGTTTCTCCGTACCCACAAGCTAGCGAGGGCCAGCATTACAGGCAATTTTGCAGCAGCATCAATTTCTAGAGCTTGATCATAGTAACGCTTGGCAAGATGGAGATCCAAAGGAAGTCCTTGACCATGCTCATGCATGTATCCCAAATTAAACATGGCTTGAGCATTTGATTGGGATTTTGCATGCATGTAAGCATCTGCTGCACGATCATAATCTCGTTCAGTACCCTGTATACAGCCACAGAATAATTGACATTAAAATAATACGTAAAAAAGTTTTGATTACAATAAGCAACTCTAAGGGTGCGTTTGGTATACAGAACAGGACATAATAGGAATCATTGTTCCACGTTTGGCATGACTTTTATGTGGAACAGACAAAAACATAGTGGAACATGCGTGTTCCACCCTCACCCTCACCCCCACCCCCACCCCATGGAACAACCTGCAACAGACTTGTGTTTTACCAATATAACCTCAAAATAAAACTTAATTCTCTTCTAAAACATCAAATATGTCTTCCTCTTTACGGTTTATTCGTTCTTGTTTAAATTTTGTTTATTGCATTCTATGCTCTTTAAACTTTCACTTTACTGTCCTCAAAAATTAATTTTACAATTTATTGTTGTTTCGATCACTATGGTTTACGATTATTTACTATTTTGATCCCTTGTACTTTGAAGGTAGAATTAGTTCAGAACGAAAATCACAATTTCTAAACCACAAGGATGAAAACCGCAATTATTAACTAACCACAGGGACGACAATCGTAAGTTACTCAATATATAAACAACTCATTCGAGGTAAATTGGTCATTTTATCTGTTCTGTCCTGTCCAATACTGTGAATAGTTGTTTCTGTCTTGTCTTGTCATGTCTTGTCCTATCTCAACACCAAACGCACCCTAAAAGAACATACCCGGCCATAGTAGTATGCATCCCCAATTAGCAAAGCAGCATGTTCATTACCCTGCTCAGAAGCTTGCCACCATAACGTATGTGCACGCTGATGCCTTTCTGCATCTGTGCATAACCCTGATTCTCCCATGCACATGCTCGCTTCTCCAAACTTATCAAGAATCCAGGCGGCATTACTTTGTGCCACCTCGTATCCTAACTCGGCCATCCGAGAGTATAATAGGAATGCCTTTCCCACTTCACCTTTTAGGTATGATTCTAACGCCCATCTAGACAAGGAATTCCACGGTCCTCTTTCTGCCACTAGTTTGTACAACGATGTTGCCTGAAACCAAATATTGTAGAACACGAAGATCAATAGATGTATCATTCCAACAATATCTTTTTAACTACATATTAAATAAATAGCGGCAACAAAAAAGAAAACAACTTCTCCGGGCCCAATGATCCACATTGCATAATCTTTATTGGAAAACATAGTTGATGAATTGTCTAATAAAAATATAATAACATGAGTCAAAGAGCATGCATCCAACCTCTTTGCCTAACTAAGGGGGTGTTTGGTTGGTTTTCCATTAAGTCTTGTATGTGTGGATTAATTTGTCTGTATAGATCGGAGGGTTTTATTTGGAAGGGGGTTTTCAAATATGGAAGGAGAGTGTTTTTTTAATTCAGAGGGGTGGTTTTTAAAAAAACTTGGTTTTCTGCATAAAGCTCTCCTCTAGAAGCTTACTGAATAAGCCACTTTCAATATCATTAAGCCACTACCAAATAGTTATGTATAGCTGACCGAATAAGTTGTGAGTCCAATTAAGCTCATTAAGCTACTAACAAACAAGCCTTAAGCCATTGCCATGAACAGTGATGGGTCTAGAACTTCTCCAAGCAAGGTGACATCATTATAATAATAGAAGTTAAATCATGCTTATGTATTAAAATCAAGAACAAACAAAAAAAGCCTTTTTACTAAAGTCAAAAAATTAATTTTTCAGCCAAGCAAACCACGAAAAAGATTTTGTGATCTTCCTAAATTGTTCAACAATGCAAAGTCTGTAGACATCCAAATTAATTAAATTATTAATACAATCCCAAGTTTTTTAAATAATCAACTCAATAATTCAAAGTCCATATGTAAACAAAATTATAAGAACAGAATTATTCCGTGACCATAGCTGATGACCTTCATAAAATTGAATAACAATTTTATTATTTTGAGAAGAGTAGGAAAAAGTAGAGAAAATTTAATCAATCTTGAAGTCATGCAATCAAAGTTGATTAAAAAACACCATTGAGATGATACTTTTGGTTTAGAAAAAAAAAATCAAAATAGCAAAGCTTACAAATGTCATCATGAGCACATCCAAGGTCAAGTTTATCTTTTGTTCAATTATCATGATAGTCATTTTTAATTACAAACTTAACAATAAAAAATTTCTATTTACATGGTAAACTAAATAAATACATTAGAAGTATAAAAGAAATTTGTAAGGGAAAAAGTTTCCAGCTGAGACATAATTTAATTTAACATCAGTATTTTTTTTTAAATTTCAAAAATATTAGGAGTAGGAGTCAAGGCAAAAACAAACTCTAACTTTTAGAAAGATTAACTAATGTTTTGTTCTCATACTAAATATATAAAATGATAATGATACAACAGATTATGCATCTCACAAGCAAAAGAAAAAGGTAATACACCAATGAGTCAACCTGGATGGCTGGACATCAAAGTAAGCTACCTGATATTGCCAAGTGAACCAAAACTGCCCCTATAACCCCTCAAGAGGTTCAACCCCTGGCATCGAAGACATTTCCTTGTATTAGGTCTGGTCATCTTAATTTGATGTTTCTCTCCTTTCCGTAAGTATATACATCACTAACTTTATAGGAATTTAGCATGGCCAATGTATCCCATTAATGTTGGAATACCATTTTGCATGGTTTCTACCTATATAATTAGACAATTAGCCTTCTATGTATTCCCCAGTTTGGACAAAGCAATAATGTGCAACATGGATTTAAAGATTTAAAAGCTCCTCTTCTTTGCTCTTACTTTTGTGATTCCATGCTCTAAGGACGCTTACTCGTGAATCTCACAAGTAGAACATGGAGTTAATCACGAAATTTATTGTAGAGAAAAAAATGAACCCATTCTGTAAAAGAAGCTTCTATATTATCAGCCATCACAATTAGGGAGGAATATGACAGTAATGATGGTTGGTCTTCATGAAGCAGGTTCAGACCAAGTTGGCATAAAAGACTAGTTATGAACAAAATAGTGTACACAACGACAAACACGTAGTCACGTACCATTGGAAGATTCTTTTTTAGCCCTATGCCAGTGTGGAACATCTTCGCCAACTGGTAAAATGCTTTTGGTTGACCTGCATTAGCTGCTACTATGAAATATTTACAAGCTAGCTTCACATCTTTCTTCACCCCAATTCCTTTAAGATGCATTACACCCAAATTGTAATGGCCACCAGCTTCCTCGTTATCAGCAGCCTTCTCAAAGTATTCTTTCGCCTGCAATCAAAGTGGTTGGAAGCAAAATCATTTTAGCCATTATGTTAATAAGAAGTAACAAAAAAGCAAAATAAATAGCGAACTACCGATGTAGTACTGTGCAACAGTATCTTGTGATTAAGGTAACAGTGGACATGTATGCAATACTATTACAGAACAAATTTTATGTTCCCCTCCCATCAGAGGTGCTTTTTTTAGTCGTCATACTCCTACTTCATCCTGTCTCACATGTGATTACGAAAACAGTCAACACAAGGGTCGTGGCCAAGGTCAGTTTCATCGTAAGAACACATGTGATAGGTGTTCTAGTGTTTTCTTATTAAACCTTGTTCTCGTTTGAATCTCCCTCTATATATGTATTTATGTATGTATGTATGCATGTATATCATTTTAGCTTATAGATTCAATTGGGTTATCCCTCTTCTTTGATTAGCTTTGCTGAATGGCATGCATAGGTATAAGTGTATGAATATAACCACAAAATCGTTTTACCCTTCTTTATCTGATGCAATCCGTATTTATTCAAAAAAATGTATCATTAACATGCCTACTATAACCATCTTGATCTTGCATAGAAATTTATATAAAATTGAATGCTTGTATTTTATGAGAACAGAAACAAAAATATGAGACAATTGCATCAAACTTGCAATATCACAAGGCCAGCAAACTATAAGGACTGCGCAGTGCATCAAGGATCCCCGGCCTTCCAAATCTTGGAAAGTGAAGTCTTTGTATGCAGACTTCCCCTTGCATTTTGCAAAGACGATGTTTCTAGTCCCCCAAAAGAGCTTTTTAAGGTGTAATACAATCATATAAAATCAGCTTATCACACATTGCATGATTTCTTTCCATTGCACGCCTCCCAACACTCTTGTTCCGTGTGAAAGTGTTCAATTCCTGTTTTGGATGTCAAACTTGTTACTTTTCAAATTCAAAACTAATATGATTCTTTTACAAATCTTAACCCCCATTTTCCTAAATCACTGATGCCTTTAACAACTTAAACAGCTTTAAAAGTCAAAAGTACATGGGAGCTTAAAGTAAAAGAAGCTTCACTCAAAATGATCACCCAGGTTTGTCTACGGTGCATAAAACTGATCAAATATATGGGATCTACCCGCAACATTGTGTAGCAGTTACTCTTCATATGCCTCTTAGATTGAATGAAAACCATGCTCAGTTGTGGAAAAAGCTTCATATATAGTGAATGAATTTCAAACAAGCTTTGATGCAAAAGCCAGATCCACATGATGTGGTAGGATCCAAGATACTACACTTTTACATTCATACATTGATCAATTTCAAACTATAAATAATGAAAAAAGAATGAGTAGAAGAGACTGGTAAATCCTAGGGTTGCAAGGAGTCGGTCATGAGAGCAAAGTCCAAAAACATAATCAAATAAGACCCACCATATGTAAAACGATGGGAAATTAGACAGTTATTTATAATATATCTACTAAAATTAAGAAACCTGATACTTTCCTAATCAATTATTAATATATAACCAACTAATTGAGATAAAAGAAAGATATAGTTATATACTTTCGCAATAATATATTTTACCTAAAATCCTAAATGCTAATACTTCTTTCTAAAGCAAAATTTGCACCTCATGCGGTACAGTGGCAAGCATCACCATATATTTCATGAAGCTTTAACCGTGACCAGGTCAGGAATTACCATATACTCCCCTTGCTCCACAATAAATAAATTCATAAACAATTAGTCTTTGACTATGAAAATCCTGCTGGATAATTGTTACAGTCAAAATGGGTTCTAATGCTGGATAATTGTTTACAGTCAAAATTCTGCTGGATAATTAGTCTTTGGCAACTGGATAAAGCTTTTAAACCTTTATCACAAGTACTACAACTAAAATTTGTTGGTGGTGGATGAATTGAGACGGTATTTTGTGAATACGTAATTATCTTGAATAGATTAACTATCAATATCAATGATGTATTTGGAAAGTAGTGTGTAGCATCAAAAAATTCAAATTGAAGCTTTTTCCTTGAATGACATGCAATACTAAGTTGAGACATAGCTATCTCGATTTTTTTTAATTTGAAATTTGAACCAACAAGCATAATCACCTAAACTCTACATATACCGGATGTAATAGATAAGTTATAAAGACAGCTCAGGAAATGGATATACAAGAAGTCGTTGCTAACAACTACTATAGCAAGCCTTCTACCCTAATATTACGTTATCAGGTAGGCTAAAGGTGACACTCAGTAGAAATTGAAGAAACCCCAACAAAGCCCACATAAGAAACAATGAACAGATTACAAGAGCATGCACAAAACATACTGTGTTGATTCCAAGTTTCAGCAAACTTACTTTGGTATAGTTCTTCTGTTCTACTCCATAACCCTTGACATATAAATATCCCATCCCATTATAAGCTGAATAAAGTTGTTGTTTGGATGCTAGAGTAAGCCATTCAAGAGCCTTTGTGTAGTTACGCTGGACTCCAGCACCTCTTGCATAGATCTCTCCAAGAAGCTCCATAGACCTAGGTTCACCCTTGTCCACAGCCTTCGTAAACCATGACAATGCCTTGACATGATCACGCCTAACTCCTCTTAATCCGAAGTAGTAAAATATCCCAATCTTATACATGGCTACAGCATTTCCTTTCTGTGCCTGGTATTCCAAGATCTGGAAGTCCTCATCCTCCTCCCCTCTGGATTTCCTGAGAGCCTCTTTGTTTTCCTCTGCTCCATTATGGATTCTAACTGGTTCAATCACCGGGGAGTCTTTTGAAATTAAAAAACTATTAACAGCGGCTTCAGCTAGTTCTGCGTACAACGTAACTGCTTTATCATATACCTGCAACAAATTAACTCAATCATTCGTCCAAACAGAAAAAAATTAAAGAATATGCTAAATTGCTAACAATCAAGATGTCATACACCAACCACATACTAGCAATGCTTTTGATACAACAGGACCTCTTTATTCCTATCGAAATACAAGCCAAGTTCCTCATAATCCACACATTCACAAACATGAATACATGATAAATGCACAAGAAGCAGACAATTCACCAACTACAGGTCAAATTCTAGTTCACCACTAAAAACTTATATGAAGCAGACAATTCACCACAATTAGAAAAAGTGTATAGATAAACAAAACAGATACTGTGCGTCTTTATCAAAGGGAAAGAGGAAACAGAGATTTTGTGTATGCTAAAAAGGAAGCGTACATCTTGGCGAGAATACGTATACGCGAGTGCCAACTTGGATTGCATATTGCCCGAGTCAGCGGCAAAATGATGATACATGAAAGCCTTGGCACCATTACGCTCCCTCGCCATTCCCATATTATACAAAAACCCTAACAGCGACTGCGCGTGAGGATTACCGGTGGCGGCGGTCGCTTCAATCTCCGAAGCGGCATCCTCCATTGCGCTACCGCCATCGCTCACGGCAGCAACCATCTTCCTAACGCTTGAGTAGTACTCCTCTAGTTCGGGATTGATAACAACATCCAAGTGAGAAATTGATTCATCAGGCTCGAATATAAGGCGCCAGGATCCAGGATCAAGCTCATCGTCGGACCTAGCGTCCGATTCGCCGAACTCGTCCCAATCGGCGATGGAAGATGGATCATCGGTGGAGTCATCAACGGGTCCGTCCTTGAGGTCGTCTTGAGATAGGACGAGAACGAAGGGGCGAGCAGTTACGGTTGTCGATAGAAGAAGAGAACAGAGTAGGAATATTATCCGGCGGGCGGCGCAAGGTGGCTTCCGACGACTTCGCATCTCTCCGGTCGCTTGAATTCTTGTGGGGTTGGTGAAAAGTCGAGGAAGAAGTCTTCATCATATAAACGGTTCCGGTGAGTGAATTGCAAAAACCATTCCATGGATTTTTCTTCCAATCAAAAATTATTTATCATTTTTTTTTTAAAGTAAATTGTAAAATTTGATTTCTATTTTAGATAATGTACTTTCAAAACTTTCATTTTAGAATTTAAGATGTAAAGTTTTAAATATTTAAGTATTCGAGTAACCAGTTGAAACATTAACCGGTTACCATGCCGATGTAGCGAGTGATGGGATGAAATTAGGTTGAATAGCAAATAATATTAAGTTGAATATACATCGCTCGCATCAGCATGGTAACCGGTATCTCCATCTCCGTCGGGGCGGGTACACCGATGTCTCCAGTGGGGCGTTTCTCATTCTTATGATTGAATACGCTACTAAATAATTTCTACCTCAAAGCCTCGGCTCCTCCTACTGGTTGGAAGCTTATAGTTTCATGTTCTGTTTCACAAGTCGGTGGCTCTCCTAGGATTCCCTTGTTGGGGATCCCTGAATAAGAGGATCACTTCAGCGCTATAGCTCCTAGTACTCGAACATTGACTCGAGACATTTTCTCTATGCTAACGTGCCTTGGATGATCCATGTATCAGGGTCTTGTGGAACATACTACGGCCACAGGTGGCGGAAAGCTGACATATATGGACCAGGAGATTGGATCTAGCTGTAAGACGAATGTTTTGTATAAATAACTCAAGGTTTATGAGTTAGTGTTAAGTGAAAACAAAATATGCCGTTATGAATACATTTTTTGATGGATTGGGATGCACGGATAGCCGTGACATGAAATCCCTGGCACCGTAGGTATAAAAAGATTCCCGAAAGCAGTGGAAACTATACAGTAGGCCAAAGGTGATGATGCATTTGTTCGTATTTCAAACGAACTTCTCTCAAAGTTGCATTAAAATTAACGGAGGGAAATCATATAACATTTTTGGCATCATTCGTGAAGCTGGGTGATAACTGTGCCTTGTCGACCAGCTGTGTCTTTGTATTTACAGGTAATATGTATCTTGAATGTTACAAGATGTATGTTTTTATTATTGATGTGTTATTTCAGAACATTTGTATTAGAAAAAACAAGCATATATTAATATATTTATTTTAACATTTTGTTGATTAATTATTTTGTTATAACTCGATAATCATCCTAATTATGTTTTAGATTTTCTATATTTTAAAATGAGATGTTTATCTTCTATTTGATTATGTTTATCCACAGTTAGTTACATGAATTCAAACATGGAGCTTTAATAAGTTGTACTTATGCATAATTTACTTGTAATCTTGAATTTTAAGTAATATGCATCAATATATAGTACTTTATGCATAAAAATTGGTTTTTAAAAGTTTGTGTCAAATGCTTTATAATATAGTGTAGATATTTATTTTAACATTTTGTTGAATTTAAATAGATGTATTTATAGTTTTTTATAGAAAGTAAATACAATTAATATATTTTCAGGTTAAACATATATATACACATTATTTACTTGGTCATATAAAGATATTAGAAGGGTATTCGTGTAATGCATCAAAACATATATCGATTTTAATGTTTCGTTTTATTCTTTAGTTATATACGGTTTTATGTGGTTCTGAGAAAGCCATAATGTTTTTATTTTTAAATAAAATGTAAATTTTAAAATATCATAAAATTTTGGAAAAATATATACATACATATTACCATTAAATTAACTATTTAAAAGTTATTGTTTTGAGTAATTTGTTTAAATTAATTTTTTTTATTAAAATTTAATTTAATGTAACGAGGTAATTTAATTTAGGTTTGATAAAAAAAATTTATAAAGATAATAATTAAGTGTTATGTTAGAACTCAATGGTTATCCTAATTTTATTTTAAAATTTTTATATTTAAAATAAGATGTTTATTCTGTATTTTATTATGTTTATCTACAATTAGTTACATAATTCAAACATAGAGCTTTAATAAGTTGTACCTGCACACAACTTGTAGTTTTGAATTTTAAATAATATGCATCAATAAACAGTACTTTGTGTTTAGTTGATATCCAATTATAGTCGGTCGGTTCTAGTTGAATCGATTAATTTTCTGTACACCTCTAATTGCAATTTTCGTTTTTGCAGCTAATTCCTTATTTTAAGTATTAGAGACGAAAACATAAAAAAGAACTTGTAAACCACATGAACGAAAACATCAATTAGTTGTAAATCTTACGAGTTTCATACTCACAGTTTCAAAATTACGGATTTGGTCCCTATAGTTTACAATTCATTGCAATTTTCGTCACCACAACCAACTCTTTTTCTTAAATATGAGAAACAAAGACAAAAATAAATAGTAAAACCATAAGAATGAAAACATCAATCAATTGTAAACAACAAGGACGGAATAATAATAAATTTTAAATCATGAGGATGAATACAACAATAAACTGTAAACATAAGGATGGAATTTGTAATTTTAAAAAATGAGGACTAAAATATGAACTTTAACATACTGTAGGGAGAAAATGTAATTTATTTACGTAACTCTTTCCATTTGTACTACCAATACAACTCAATCTTAACCGTCTATTTAATTTGATGAATATGTGATTTCATAAAAGTTTTGATTGTTTCATAATATAAAGTATTGATTACAATTAATGAACTGTAGTCATCTTTCATAAATATTCAAATCATAATAAATGAACTCTTATCATTTCTATAAATATCTCAATTAATGAGTTGCATTGATTGTACAAATGAACATGTTGCATTTGATATATATATATATATATATATATATATATATAGGAGCCTATTCAAGGGAGAACTGAGTTGTTTGTGGTAACTGTGAGAACCAATATCAACCAATCATTTTAACATATTAATTATACAATTAAAATCAAATTAAAATGGCATGTTAGTCAATTCCTAATTTAAAATTAAATTTTAATTTTTTAAATGCAACCGTTTCAAATAAAATAAATTAATATTGATTTACATTCCTAAAATAAAATATTAGTATCATTTAGTGAAATAATTTCAAAAAAATAAATCCATTTGTGTAAACATGTTCATTATTCTGATGAATCACATGAAATCACACATATTTGTTGAAGATTGTATCCATAATATTTAAGAATGTTATCATAATGTATCACACCAATTTGTACTAATATTTGTTGAAGATTGTATCCATAATATTTAAGAATGTTATCATAATGTATCACACCAATTTGTACTAATGTTGTTAATACATCTGCAGATTTTATGTAGCAGATGTGCTGTTACCACAATGTAGCACAAATTGATTATCACAATGTCCAGTCAAATATTATTACAAATGCTAAATGTTATCACAATGTATCACACAATTTTCCAACAGATTATGGTCAACACTAAATATACCACAATGTAGCACAAATTGAGATTACTCTAGGGCTTAAGGCAATCGTCTCCTTCTCAAATACATGAAAGTATCTTCACTATATTTGGATTCCAATTGAACAAGAATATTAATGTACAAAATGACCATCTTGCCCTTGTTCATATAATGTCATTAAATGACAGTAATTTATTTATAGAAATACATTAATTAAGATTCTTTTTAATCTTACCCATTGATTATTATAATATGTGGTTGAAATTGGTTCTCACAGTTACCACAAACAATTCAGTTCTCATTTGATTAAGCCCATATATATATATATATATATATATATATATATATATTTGTAGTTAGCCAAAAAGAGGAAGAAACAAATGAAAGATTAGAAGGTGTTAGTTAGGTTTGAAAGGTGATCCACACCTAATACACATATACCCCCATCTTTACGGGTTCTAACTACATTACCAACCTCTTGTATATCCATCTCTCTCATATATATATATATATATATATATAAGAGGTTTACTTTACAAACCACGTTATTTGTATAAGTTTCATTCAATTAATTATAATTTTTTATTTTGTTTATTTTTTTAAATTATGAGCGGTTGTTTATTCATTTTTATTGTGGAAGGTGTTAATCATTAATATTATCATCTTTTGTATTAATTCTAGAGAAATACATGAAATAATTTCATTAAATATTATATTAAACAATTTCGTAATCATATATGAAACAACTTCATAAAAAAAATAGTATATGAAACAATTTCACAAGATTGAACACTTTAATGAATTTTTTTCATAAGATTAAACAATGAAATTGACGGATGAAGATGGTTTGCACAGTTTGTACATAAGAATGGTTTGTATTTGATCGCTCATCTCTCTCTCTCTCTCTCTATATATATATATATATATATATATATCTCTTTATATATATATATATATATATATATATATTCAAGAAAAAATCATAAAAAATAAAAGAATTGGGGAATACTCAGGTAACCGTTCATCTTGACGGTATATATATGTATATAAAAATCAAGAAACAACTCAGGTTACTTGTATGCACATGTACATATCATTTAGATGAATGTTTGTCATAATGTTTCTCTCTTTTTTTCCCATTATTTTTGGGGTTTTCTTGAACTCCCCCCCCCCATCTCTCTCTCTCTCTCTCTCTCTATATATATATATATATATATATATGAGTTATTATGCAACATTTTATATTTGTACAATCAATACAATTCAACTCAACCGTCTATTTAATTTGATGAATATATGATTTCATAAAAGTTTTTAATTATTTCCTAATATAAAGTATTGGTTATAATTAATGAACTTTAGTCATCTTCTATAAATATTCAAATAATAATAAATGAACTCTCATCATTTCCATAAATATCATATATATATATATATATATGTGTGTGTGATATATTTCAAATGCAATCATGTCCATTTGTACAGCCAATGCAACCCAATTAATTGAGATATTTATAGAAATAATGAAAGATCATTTATTATGATTTAAATATTTATGGAAGATGAATAAGGTTCATTAACTATGATAAATACTTTATATTAGGAAACAATCAAAACTTTTATGAAATCACATATTTATCAAATTAAATGAACGGTTGAGATTGAGTTGTATTGGTTGTACAAATGTAAAGGGTTGTATAATAAACCACCTCTCTATATCTATACTATATTATAAAGCATTTGGCTAAAACTCTTAAAAACTCTTAAAACTCTTAAACTCGTTTATCCCTAAACGATTTCATCACATATTTGAATTCGTCTAACTAACTGCAGATAAACATAATCAAATATATTAGATAAACATCTCATTTTAAATATAAAAAATCAAAAATATAATTAGAATAATCATTGATAACTAACATAATACTTAGTTATTATCTTTATAAAAAATTATATTATTAAACCTAAATTAAATTTCTTTATTACTAAACCTAAATTAAATTATAATTAAAAAAAATTTAATTAAAAAAATTACACCAAAACACAAGAACTTTTAAAAATATTAATTTAATATTGATATCGATATTTTTTTTCAAAATTTTATGATATTTTTAAATTTATATTTTATTCAAAAATAAAAAAACATTATCACTTTTTTAAAACCACATAAAATCAATGTTTACTTAAAATTCAAGATTACAAGTAAATTATGTAAAAGTACAACTTATTAAAGTTTGATGTTTGAATTCATATAACTAATTACGGATAAACATAATCAAATAGAGGATAAACATCTTATTTTAAAATATAAAAAATCTAAAATATAATTAGGATAATTATCGAGTTTTGACAAAATAATTAATTATTATTCTCTTAAAAACGATTTTTTATGCACGAAATACTGTATATTAATACATATTACTTAAAATTCAATATTACAAGTAAATTATGCATAAGTACAACTAATTAAATCTCGATGTTTGAATTCGTATAACTAATTRCGGATAAACATAATCAAATAGAGGATAAACATCTYATTTTAAAATATAAAAAATCTAAAATATAATTAGGATAATTATCGAGTTYTGACAAAATAATTAATTATTATCTTTATAAAAAATTATATTATTAAACCAAATATAAATTATTTCGTTATTATACCTAAATTAAATTATAAAAAAATTGAATTAAAAAATTACATATAAATGAGAAATTTTAAATAGTTAATTTGATACTAATATCGATATATTTTTGTCAAATTTCTATGATATCTTCAAATTTATATTTCATTCAAAAATAAAGCATCATCGCTTTCTCAAAATCACATAATACCATATTATAATATCAACTGAGATAAAAAAGAAAATAAAATATTAAAATCAAGATATATCTCGCAACATTGCACGAGTACACTTTTAATATATATGAATGTATATAGATAATTATTTAATTGTAGTTTATTATAATTAATGAAATATGTATTTTAGTTAGAGAAAGGTTGTTTATAAGTAGACGTTGTAGGTTAGAAACATGGAAGAAAGACGTTGAAAGGAGAACGGAATTCATCCCACCAAGCAACCTCCCTTCCATCACCTCTATCTCTATCTCTATCTCTATCTCTCTCACAAACACATACTACATACACACACATATTATATATATATATATATATATATTTATATACCACGTTATTTGTACAAACCATATTCAACCAATCATATTTTTTCATTTTGTTTAATTTTTTGTAATTATGATAGGTTGATTAATCATTTTCATTATGGAGGGTAATCATCATCTGCATTATATTAATTTTAGAGAAATACATGAAACAGATTCATTCAAATTTCATAAATATTATATGAAACAATTTCATAACCATATATGAAACAACTTTATCAAAAAAGTATTATATGAAACAATTTCATAAGATTAAACAATTTCATGAAATTTTTTCAGAAGATTAAACAATGAAATAGACGCATGAAAGTGATTTGCACGGTTTGTACAAATATAGGTGGTTTGTACGGTTTGTACAAATACGGGTGGGTTGCATTTGATCGTTATATATATATATATACAAGCTTACTGATTTGTATAAAACTACAAACTGATTTTCATGTGTTGTTTCATACGAGTGAAAATTTATTGTTTATATAGTATTGTTTCATATGTGAAACGTCCATGACTGTTCTCATTCGCGCACAAAACAGCCCTAAATGTTTTGTATGTGAACAGTATTGTATAAACAATGCATATAAAAATTGGTGCATTTGAAACAATCTATATATATATATATATACACACACACGAAAGATGATTAGAAAAATAGTAGTTTTAGTTAGACTAGACGTTGCATCAGTTTCTGGTACACTCTTCTTAACAGAAACCACCTCCTATATAACCCCCCACCATCCCCCACCTTCCCTCTCATTTTTCTCCATCTTCAACCTCTACCTCCATTCAATTTCATGCTGCTACCAATCTAGATACATGTGCAGCCGTGGTCATTGGCGGCCGTCGGAAGACCAGAAACTCCGGCAACTCGTCCAACAATATGGACCTCATAACTGGAACGCCATAGCCGAAAAGCTCCAAGGCAGATCAGGTCTCTCGTCTTCTTCTTCTTCTTCTCTCTATATATAGCTTAATAGCTACCTATCCATCTGTTATTCTGCGATTTACACACACACACACACAAAATATCTGTAATTTCTGTAACGTGAAACTCATTTTGGTAATTATATATCCGTCTGGAATGCCATAGCCAAAAAGCTTCGAGATCTCATTTTGTTACTTAAGTTACAGATCGTTCTCGATTCGTTTCATTATCCGTATGTAATCTTCGAAATCTGCAACTTATGATCTGCTAGCTTCGTATCATGGAATCGTGGATTGGTGCGTCATCGATCAGTTTGGTGCAGTTTTCGTTAGCTGATCTTCGCTTTTTTTTCTCCCTTTTTTGATCGATTGGATTGAGAGAATTGATAGATGTATGGACATGTGATCATAAGATCCGTAATCAGAGGAGGACCCACTCAATTGGATACGGTGATATCAGCCACCTCTTCGGTTTTTCTACGATAGTGTAAAAAATTACAAGGTCGTGAAAGATGCCAGTAAATTGTGTAAACGAGTCGAGTAGCACGTTATTTGAGTTCGGTTCGAAAAACTAATATCAAGTTCGGGCTTGATTAACTTTTCCAAAGTCGGGTTCGAGGTTGAGCTCGAATATTTTTTTCAATGTTTGAGTTCGACATCGATGCTTGTTTACGAGTTCAAATTTGTTTGGCTCGAAAAAGTGTATGTTGGAATGGCTCGGCTCGGTTCGCTATGAGTCGAACGAGTTGAATCGAAAATTGGTGTTACGGAATTCGAGTCATTAAGTTAAGCGAGTTTTATTTTGTGTTCGAGATCGACTCGAGCTCGAAATAAACGAGATCGAACTCAAGTAGCTCGTTAAAAACTCGACCTGTTTACACCCCTAGGTGCCACCGTATATATTCTGATACTACAATGGTCCCACAAGTTTTGCTCGATAGAGTTGGTTTGCATGACTTTTCTCTCACCCCGATCTCGGGTTCGAATCCAGTTTGTGTTATTTCGTTCGGTTTTTACTTTTAGTTTCATATTCATCATGTTTCTGGAAAAAAATTGTAATAAAAGACTCTAACACATGACCTCACGTATGAAAAACAAAGAACTAACTAACAGACCAATGATGATTTTGTGAGAAATATTTATATATTTGTTTTTTATAATCAAATGGTTTGTCACCGCCTTTTCTTTTGATCATGATGATATGAATTACACGGTTTTCGTGCGATACAGGCAAAAGTTGTAGGCTAAGATGGTTCAACCAACTGGATCCAAAGATTAATCGAAGTCCGTTCACGGAGGAGGAAGAGGAACGACTTCTAGCGTATCATCGTGAGTTCGGGAACCGATGGGCTAACATTGCGAAACTTTTCCCTGGTCGAACTGATAACGCCGTCAAGAACCATTGGCATGTTATCATGGCTCGAAGGCATAGAGAAAGGTCCACCAGGATGTATCGAAGAATCACTGCTACTACTGATACTGATACTAATCATTTATTTACCGAAAGATGTCGATACACTAATTTCCCTTATGAGATTTCAAGAAATATTGCATCCCATCTACAACTCTCCAAGAATTTGGTTCATCAATTCAAGATACATGAAGGTATTATATAGATCTCGGTTTAAATAAGAAGGCTAAATATCGTGAGGATATACAAAGGAAAGGTTAATGAGAGTTTTACATGTGAATCCACTGAAAATCTGAATAAATATTTGAATATGCATATGTGAATCGATGCTACATATTGCTCATATGAGTTCCGATATGCATCTTCAAATAAAAAATTCAATGATTCACATATGAATTTTCTTTTCTTTATGAACCTAACAATAGTAGGTCTGTTCAGGTTGACATCCATTGGATGTGAGGGGAACCGAACCGATCCAATCATTTATTGGATGTTGGATTTTGCCAACCGATCCGATTCGATTAAAATTGGATAGTCGATCAAATCCAATCCAATGGATGATTGGATAGGTTCGGTTTCATCAATTGGATACTTTTATTGGATATCGAATGGATGATCTGTCGAGATTGGATTTATTTTTTATATGTTAAAACCAACACAAGAGAAGTTAAAAATTCAAAGCCTCACATGAAACAAATTCTGATTTAAGCAATTTGAAAATAAATTAACCTGATGATAGTTGGATGGACAGCTGGATAAGCAATTTGAAAATAAGTTAACCGGATGATAGTTGGATGGACAGCTGGATGGTCATCAGATGATTAATTGGATGGGTAATTGGACTTCGGTTAGTTCAGTTCGGTTTTGGACCGCCATCTGAGAACCGAGCGATCCAAATTGGATGTTGAAATTTTCAATCCATCCGATCCAATTACAATTGGATATCCAATTATGGTTGGTTGGTTCTAACTGGATAAGTTGGTTCCAATTGGATCGATTGATTTTCTACACACCCCTACCTAACAGTATCAACTAATTAACATGCTAGAATTATGTTTAGGATGCATTAATACGAGTCTATCAGTCTGTCGTTGTTTATATCTATTAATATTTTACTGTTTATTCATCGTGATTCAGATAAAAAAGATCAATCGGTGGAGTTTTACAACTTTCTTCCTGTAAATACCGACTCTAACAAGAGTGAAGTAATCGACCACGCAAAAAAAGACGAGGTCGAGGTGGAGCAAGAAGCAACCGAACAGCAAAGGAGAGACGTTGTGCCGTTCATTGATTTCTTATAGATCGATTAAGGTCCGTAAAAAACCCGAATAACATTTAAGACGGTTAACTGCGACCTTCGTAACTTGTAGTTTACATATTACAGAAGAATTTACATTTAATATCAGTAAAGATAATACTGATATACGATATTCTGCCTGTGAGTTCAAATCTTTTAAACATGCATTTATTTTAAACAATACAAAATCTCGTTACTTCTTGTAACACTTTGATTACATGTATATTGCTTTATGGACCAAGAAATTCTGTATTTTTTTTTATGTTTTCTTTTGAATAAGTCTGTAACATTTTGCTTTTTTCTTTTATTAATTTGGATATCCAACTTGCTATGCGGGCCGACTAATTACAAGGCGACCACCTGCTTTGCAGATAGCCCGGAGTCACCACATTTGAACCTCCGTGGCCACAAGAGAATTTTTATTCTCCTTGGATTTGAACCCGAGACCTCCTGGTACTTTTGACATTTGGAGTCAAGCTCAAACCAATCGGGCACCCCCTTGTGGTTAACATTTTGCTTTTAGTTATCACTATTTTGGAGAGATGCTTGATTAAATAGACATGTCTGTAAAAATGGGAACTATCTGTACCTGAACAGAAACACACTGATGCATGATAACTAGTTTTTGGTTGGTCTTTACGGGTTTGGTCTGAATGGTGAAAGAATAATATGGTTCTTAATATATATTAGGTTCGGAAATGTGGCTGGCCATCCAGACTGATCGTGACCACACCCAGTTCTTTTTATTTCTTTTTAGTTTATTGTTGCTTTTATTCAAGTCTGGATGTCAAAAACTTCACATACCGGGATCTGACGGGCCCAAATCGGTTCTGATCGAGTCTGATGTTCAATACTGAACGTATTTTAGACATTTGACCAATAATCAGACATTTTACTAAATCATATACAAGATTTTATAGTTTTAAGAGAAAAATACGCCTTTTATGATACGCGAACGACAAACCGTATGTAAAATTCTGTATTTGTACACCATCGAGCGAAAGGTTTTGTTCAGACTGTTGACATCAAACTTCTGGTATATACGTAGCATGAGCAGCTATTTCTGAAAAATATTCATACGTGTGTTCTCGCAATCTTTGCTTTTATATATTGAGCTCCTGTTCGTTACCCGCCAAGGCAAGGAATACATATGGGTTACGTTATATTTATTGAAATTTTTAGAAGGAGATGTTTAATTAAAATTAGTTGCCTTGTATATCAATTACCTAATATACGTCGTATTTTAAAGACGTTTGTGAATCAAAGTGTATCATAGTGATAACGTTCACAATGTTTTACGTGTATCACAATGTATTTTCTTTGTTTATGAAATGTATCATAGTGTGCATTTTCGTTATTTTCATTGTTTTACAAAGGATATCACATTGTGCACCTTGTATGTATATCTGGGTATCACGGTGAATATCGATTTGTAGGTATCACAATGTGTATCATATGTTCACACAAGGTTCATCAGAATAGGTTTGCCGAATAAGATTCGCCGGAGAGAGGAAAAAACAGAGATGAGAGAAGATATTTAAGAAATCCCTAATATGCCCTTAATTAGTATTTTAAATTAAAATTACCAAAATTATTAATTTTCCAAGTTAACCTTTGATTTGTAATTGAGATTTGATCTCACGGTTACCACAAACAAAAAAGTTCTCTTTTGATTAGACCCCTATACTTGGGATCACGTTTAGACTATTTTTTTTACACTTGAAACTTCACAGCAAAACACTGTAAAAGTAATCTTCACAATATTTTTGTTATGAAAGTTCGGCTTTTTTTACCTTCATAACATTTTGCTGTGAAATTTCATGTTTGATATTTAAGTTTGCTACATAAACCAGAATCCAATCGAATTTCGTTACCATTCTATGCATTTCAACATGATCAATAGTTACATAACTTCAATTTTGATCCCTATAATTTGCAATTTTTAACAAATATTATCTCTAAACTTTAAAAACTCGAATTTGGTCCCTCATGTTTATCAATTCCAACAATTTTAGTCCATATGTTTAACGGTCGTTAACTTTTATCCATTAGATCCAATAAAATAAGAGGTATTTTAGTCATTTTCACTATTTTTATTATGTTTTAACTCCAATAGATAAAAAAAATGTGAAAGTATTTATTTTTACAGTAAACAAAGTTTTAGTCCCTGTGGTTTGTTAAAAAAACGTTAAGAACTCGTTCCTGTGTTTTTTAAAATGGTTTTCGTTTTTATGGTTTATAATTCATTGCGTTTTTTCGTGTACGTGGTTTACAGTACATTATTGTTTTTGTCTTCTGTTACTTAACCGTAAACTACTGATAAGCTAGGCTCATAAACAAAAACAATATGTTGGTGGTTTAGGGGTCGTTTATGAAGCGCTTACCAAGTCACGTTACCTTACAAAATGAATATGACAAAGACCAAAAGTCTTGCTTAGTGAGAGCGAAGACAATGACCAATAGTCTTACCCGGTAAAACCGAAGACAAAGACCTAGAATCTTACTCGGTAAGTGAGGGCGACGACTCTTACCATGGTTAGCGCTTACAGAGTAAATTATTGCATAGGATACCGTTTTGGTGGAAAATCTAACCCGGTAAGTAAGTGATAGTGTTAAATTTTCACCTGTAAGCACATACCAAGATACGCGTTTGGTAAACAGCCCCTTAGTTGTTAAAGTCTATACATGACTCGAATTTTAAAAAGGTAAATTGTTAATAAGTTGAATTTGATGAGTTGGGGGATTGACTTATCAATAACTATTTATTTCCGGTTTGACACCAGTAAATAACTTTTTTTTTCTTCCCCATCCGAACACTTAAAACGATTTATTACCGACACCACATCGAAATAAGTCAATAAGAAGCTTTCATAAAATGGATGACAACGTCTTTTATCGATTCTTCTGTTTGGCAGTTGCCGAATAATTTGATGCAAAATGATCAAGTGATCAGAATGATCAAGAGACTCTCATGGTATAGTGAAAAATAAAATATAATTCTTTGGTAATTGTTTACAATAAAATTAGGGTGTTTAATGGTTAAGGGAGATCCAATATACAACACCATTCAGAGGGTTTTAGAACCAGACAAATTTTTCTTTGCTATTCATATGTTAATGATTTCACATGCTGCCTCTTAATGCAACTATTAAAAGTAAAGAGTTGTTTGTTTACCTCTTAATAGTTCTATTAAGAAGCAAATTCTGAATAGTTAAGAGGTAAATCTTGTTTGACAAAATAAAAATATGTATTTCTATGGTTCTAAAACACTCCGAATGATTTTGTATCATAAATCTCCCTTAATCATTATACATGATTATCAAACAATTATATATCATAATAGCCTTTTTAATCATTTTGATCGCTTCATCATTCAACAACTACCAATCAACAATTAAACAATGTTTAACATTTAATAAGTAAAGCCGATCAAAACCTAGCCACTTCACTCCGCCATTGAAGCAGACAAGACAGATCTACGATCCTCTAGTGTGCACCAACAATGGCTTCATCATCTTCATCGGAAAGCAACAACGACGAGAGGGAGACGACGACGACGACGACTTCCTTCAAATCGAATAAAACAGGATTAGGATGGATGGAGTGGCTAAGAGGTTGGTTCTATTTGGCATACGAGATGCTTTTTCAGAGAATAATGGCCTCTCATTTGCAGAATCCCATGCCTTTGCCTCCTCTCAACGATTTCACTTGCATCATTACCGGATCCACCAGTGGTATTGGCCGGGAAACTGCCAGGTCCTCCTTTTTTCCATTTCATCCGCAGTTTTAGCATTGTTATTTGACTTGCAGAAATTTAGATGCATGTTTTAGGGAGAACTACAATCTGTGATAAATTTACTCTTCTGTGATAAGAATTTTCATTTTCCCGAAGTTTTAGCATTGTTATTTGACTAGCAGAAATATAGATGCATGTTTTAGGGAGAAGTAGAATTTGTGATAAATTTACACTCCTGCGATAACAATTTTCATTTTGGTATATGTTCTAAGAAAATTGAACAAAAAATCAACCAGAATATCGTATGATTCATATTTGCCAAACTATTTTCTGGTTATTGGTATTCTAATCAAACGTTTCTGCTAGTAATGTTGCAGTTCTATTACAATGTATGACGAAATAATTATGTCTAAATTTATCTTTCTGAAGATGTGGTGATTAAGGAAATTGTGTGGTGTGAATCACCACTCATGTACTACGTGAAATGTATTATTGTCACTAGCATCCATAATGTTGAATCTTGGTAATTATAATGGAAAATGATGCAAAATTGTATGATAAATACTTTTTGAAATACAAAACGTAGTTACAGAAACCAAATTCTTAGGAAAAAACAAAACAAAACCGTAGTGATTTCTAAAATATCGACGGGTCTTCGATTACCATTTCACATGGGTGCTAATTTTTTTTGCTGGTCTCTTCTTGGGATTAGACCTTCATGGATGAAACCTTGAATAACATAAAATGTAGCAAGTCCATAAGGGCCTAAGAATAATGTTCATGAGATTGAGGATAACTTGGGTGGTTTGAGAGATGTGGTACTACTATAATACTAGATATTATTATTTTTTATTTGGTGATATGACCTTCATTTTGCTCTTTAAGTGACTAATTAGGCTTCTAATGAGTTGAATACTGTAGTTCATCCTTCTTTACTTTCGGGGTACGTAAAGCTGCACTAGCAATCAAGGGTCAAGCTTGTGATTAAGTAGGTGGATCATTCCATATAGTTCTTACTTCTTACCTAATTCGTTTGTACCATTCCTCTTTAAGTTGAAGAATAAATATCAGTCGTTCTCGATAAAAGTCACTTTCAGTAGCAAATAGCCAAATACAATGTCCTACATTTCATTTCTACAAATGAGAATTTAAGAAATATTAACAGATTATTTTCATCTTTTTCCGCTAATCTAACTTGTTGTGTCAATGCGCTTGCCGCTTGGTGTTCAATTTATATTTCAATGTACTAATGACAACCGTGGAAATAATTGGTGGGTGCATGCTTGACCCCCTGCCCACTAGGTGCTCAAACTAAATTGAGCTTCCTTCTCTTTTACATGCATCACTGGATTTATCATCCTTGCAGTTGTGAAAATTGGTATCGCAAGTCACATTTCAAAATTGTTTAAACACACTTGATTATCGTGTTCTTTAAACTTATGCAGACAGTTGGCAGAATCAGGGGCACATGTTGTTATGGCAGTTAGAAATACCAAGGCAGCCCATGACCTGATCCAGAAGTGGCAGGATGAATGGTCAGGAAGAGGACTTCCTCTCAATATTGAGGTATATAGCAACTACACAGAAAAAATTTCTGGTACTTATTTTGGTCTTTCTACAAAGCAAGCTTATTCAATTTGTGGCAATCAAGGTGATGGAACTGGATCTTCTCTCCCTGGCTTCTGTTGTAAGATTTTCCGAGGCATGGAATGCACGATCAGGACCTTTACATGTGCTGATAAATAATGCAGGGATATTTTCTATAGGAGGTTAGTGACGTAGGGTACATTGCTTGAATTTTTAACACGTGTCTTTTTAGTCTCGTATATATTTTCTATCAATTATTTTGTTAATGGTAAACTCACTTCCAATTTTCATATCATGCACATACTATTTCTTCTCTGAAACTTCAGAGAACATTTCTAGTATAAATTTTTTCTTGCTAATTGTTCTTTTTCCTAACTGCTTATATGAGAAAGTGACGTGATTTGGAATCCACCCCAAAAATATAATCTGTAAGGCAAGTGGGATTGTCTTCACAAGGAACTTATAGTTACCCAATTTCTTGTTTGAGTAAGAAAAACAACTAATGCTTTAGTGATTTTACAGTTGTATACAATTCAAAGAAAATACGAGAAAAATATTTGGGTTCCAAAAATACAAGAATCTAAGGAGACCTCAATGCCTGTATAATATATGTGATTTTAATATTCAAACCATTCATGTAAACATCTAAGAGATTCTGCTTGGCATGGACAGGGAAATAACAAAGAACATCTCTAGGTAGCATCCACACAATCAAGACCAAATTGAATGATTCACCAAATGTTTTTGTTAGAAACGAAACAAGTAATAGTCACTATTGGGACAGCTACTATGAACCGAAAATGAAAACAAAAACCATATTAAGCAGACTATAAAGAATTGTACAACCTTTGGTTTTGTACTTTTGTCTCTCCAAGAAGGAATCTGCATGCACTTATCTTACGTGTTTTCACCGTGGTGGCCATATTGCATACCATTGGTCTCTTAGCCAAATCCACACTAGAGTTGTGGCTGGATGGAGCAATGAACTACGGGTTGTAAGTTCTTGGAAGAGATGGAAGAGGTATAGAGAAGGATGTATGTGATGTTAATTGGCAATTGAGCTCCATTTCTGCTTCATGGATTTTTTATATTATGGTGTAGAGCCCTAAAATCAGCAACTAACTGCATCCACAATTTAGTAATTCCTTCTTTTTCGCTGAAATTTATCATTGAAACTAAAGAAATAACATATGTGCAAGTAAATGGATAATTCTGCGATGCAACAGAGACATGTTGTATCAAATATTGGAAGAATCAAAAAGAGATCCTGTTTCCCTGCTTTTACGACTCTTAATATTTACATTTTTTTTTCTGTTAATACTTTTGTGATGTTAACGGTGTTTTGGTTTCTATTTAATTATCAATTGGAACATTGTTTGGCGGAGCTATGGAAGCTCAAATAATATAGAAATTGGTTTTTGTTGGCCTTAAAAACTTGAATTTCATTATAAGTTGGTGAGTCAACACATTTATATTTCCGTAAACCCCTTTGTAGACCATGAAAACATTCAAATCAAGTTAACAATGTACAACCAACATTAGAAAGGTTTCTTAATCAGTTATTATTCCTTGAAATTGTGAACAATTGCCAAACACTGTTTTCACATCTAGTTTACCCGTCTAAAAATTGTAACCAAGAAAGAAGGCGTTGCCAAATGATACCTTAGTTTATGTGTTGGTGTTTAGTCTACTTCTTGCATTAACAAGCTAAATAAGCTTAAATTTATTTTATCTGCTGGCTAAAGTAATGCAATTTTCTTTACCTCTATTTAGAACCACAAAAGTTCTCGAAAGATGGATATGAAGAACACATGCAAGTGAATCATCTGGCTCCAGCACTGCTTTCTGTACTGCTCCTGCCATCCCTTATAAGAGGTTCTCCTAGTCGAATTGTAAATGTGAACTCAATTGTAAGTTTTATTCCCATCTTTTGTGCATGTTTTGCTTTAAATATATTCTCATATTTACAAGCACTTAATGCTTTGCTTGTTGACAGTAACATAAATTGATTGAGTGCTTATGGGACTGTATAATTTTTAAGTGAACATGAGAAATACATTCATGCTTAGTCACATTCACTTGTTATTTTATACTAGTTACAATTCTTGACATATATACAAACTTAAATACTGCTGGAGCCTTTAAGAATATGTATATATATATATATATATATATAGAGAGAGAGAGAGAGAGAGAGAGAGAGAGAGAGGTTTCAGGGATAAACCTCCCCAAAAAATGAAAAACTGAGGACACCCTGAGAACCCTTCATCTGGAAGGTATGCACATGTGCATATAAGTAATTGAAGTTGTTTCTTGGTTTTTATGCTCGTGTGCATGCCAGACAAACTGCTTATAAATTACTTGTATGCACATGTGCATACCATCCGAATGAACGGTTACCACTTACCAGGGTGTTCCTCAGTTTTTCATTTTTTTTGCGGTTTTCCCCTGAACCTGACCCTATATATATAGTGGGAGGTTCAAACAAGAAGGCTAATTATCATGAGAAGGTAAAACGGGAAGGCTAAAGGAAGGTTCATATGCGAATCATTGAAAAAACCCATTTGATGATGCATATGTGAATCCATATAAATAGTCTGTAACGTTGGTTCACATATGCATCTTCAAATGGATTTTTTCGGTTTTTTCAATGATTCACTTATGAACCTTCGCTTCTTACCTTCTCACCATATCTAGCCTTCTTATTTGAACCACCCCCTATATATACATAAAAAGGGCATCGAGGCAGGTTAAAGTCACAATTTGATAATACAACCACTAAATTATTTAAATCACTAGTAAAATAATTAGAGTTGAATTTTTTCTACCCTATTGCAATTGTGGAAACTGAAAAGTACGTGTTTGTGCTCTGTATAGATGCATCAAGTTGGATTTGTAGATACAGAAGATATGAATGTTACTTCGGGGAAAAGGAAGTTCACAAGTTTAGTGGGTTACTCGGGCAGCAAATTAGCGCAGGTGTGTTTCTGCTTCTATGCATTGATAGTGGTACAAGTAGTTAATGCGTATGTCGTAAAAGTAGGTATTGCAGAGGTCTAGTATAAATAAGAGCATGAGGATCAGGAGTAGGGATTCTGTTTCTGGTAAACATATGGGTGTCAGTCCTTTGGGGAGTCGAAAGGCCAGAAGCTCCCCAAAGGACTGACGCCCAAATGTTTACCGAAAACAGAATCCCTACTCCTGATCCTCACACTCTTATTTATACTAGACCTCTGCAATACCTACTTGTATGCCATACACATTAACTACTTGTACCACTATCAATTATACGGTATAACACTTTCCTTCCACAAATATGTGCAGTTGTGTATCCTGCACTTGCTAGCTCACAGGTGCATTTTATCTGCAGGTCATGTTTAGTAGCGTCCTCCACAAAAAATTGCCTGCTGAAGCTGGCATAAGTGTAGTGTGTGTATCTCCAGGAATAGTTCAGACCAACGTGGTATGTATTCTGAACTAACATTAACATTTTAATTTGGAAAATTGATTTAAGATGAATGCTTAAATAAAGTGGACTGTTTGGTTCAGACTAAGGGGCTGTTTGGTTAGTTTTCCATTAAGTCCTGTATGGTTAAACTTGACTGTGTGGATTAATCTGTCTGTATAGATTGTGAGGGTTTTTTCATAGATGGAAGGAGTGTGTTTAATTGGAAAGGGAAGGTTTGGAAAAACTTGGATTTTTTGCATAAAGCTCCCTCTAGAAGCTATAAGGCACTTTCTGTATCATTAAGCCACTACCAAACAGTCATGGATAGCTGACCAAATAAGTTGTATGTCCCATTAAGCTCATTAACCTGTTAACAAACAAGCTCTTATCTTTCCTGAATGGAAAGATTCACAACATATTGATGTAGGATAAGTTCCCCTTGGATGAACAATTATGAATGATTATTGTCAATAATTGGTTATTTATAGTCTTATAGATGCTGCAGCATATCATTTTGGTGATCGAACTTTTAATAGTAATAATAATTTGATGATCGAAGTCCGAAATTTAAGAGTTCGGTGATTTGGAACAACTCTTAACACAATTAATTGTTTCTGTTAAAAAACTTGATGGCATCAATTCTTACCTAAATAACAAGACATCGCAACTGCCCTATGATCTTCTTCCTTACTCATTTCTGTTTTTCAAGAACCAGGGACAAATTGGCTGATTGGCGTAGGTTTTGAATCACTAGGATTGTGTTGCCTAGTTACCATGTGGAAACTTGTACACATTTGTGGGATACGAGCATCAAGGACATCCACTATTGACTAGGAGATGTTTGGTTGGTTTTCCATCAAGTCCTGTATGGATAAAGCTGTCTATGTAGATTAATCTGGTTGTATAGATTGGGAAGATGGAAGGAACGTGTTTTTTTAATTGGGAGGGGCCAGTTTGGAAAAAAAAGTCTTTGGCTTTTTGCATAAAGCTCTCCCAAGAAGCTTACTGAATAAGCCACTTTTTATGTCATTGAGCCACTTTTTATGTCATTAAGCCATTACCAAACAGTCATGTATAGCGGATGGAATAAGCTGCGAGTTTCATTAAGCTTGTTAAGCTGCTAACAAACAGGCTCGGGGCTGTTTGGTTGGTTTTCCATTAAGTCGTGTATGGATAAAGCTAGTGGGAAGGTGTTTCCATAGATGGAATGAACGTCTTTTTTAATTGGTATGGGCAGGTTTTTAGAACACTTGGGTTTATGAATTAAGTCCCCCCTAGAAGTTTACTGAATAACTCACTTTCTATATCATTAAGCCACTACGAAACAATCAATGTATAGTTGACCGCATAAGCTGTGAGTCCCATTAAGCCCATTAAGCTACTAACATAAAAGCTCTTGTTCTTTCTTGGTACTAACTCTTAACATTGCCAATTGCAGGCAAGAGATCTTCCCAAAATTGTTCAGGCTGCTTATCATCTAATTCCCTATTTTATCTTCAGTGCTGAAGAAGGCAAGTAATCAATGTCTACTCATCTTTGATCTCTCTCTCCTCTCCTCATGTACGCACACAAGTAAGCCATGATCCGCTTGCATTCAAAATCATAGAATCACTACACCATATGCCGACATGCAATCATGCAGTTAATCTAAACTACCATGCTCTAAGTTGGCAACGATGAAAAAGAAATCAACAAAATGTATAATTATCAGGGTTCTAAAAGGTGCGCCATGGCGTAAGACGCGTCTCCGTCGTTACGATAAGTCGATAAGGCCTATAGGTTTGTGTAACGTGTGGCTCACGCCATGGCCTGCGTTTTTTACAAGGCGCGACTTTTTTTCAAATAGAAGACATATATGTATATATAAGATCGGGTTCATACGGAATGGTACCAAATAAGAAAACAAGAAAATGGCCGAATCACATGTGATTCACGCGACTTTGCCCCACGACCTATGGTCGTAGCCAAAGTCGCCCACACACCTTTTTTGACCTTTAATATTAAATCACATATGATTGTGTACGTAATTTGGCCATTTTCTTATTTAGGTACCATTCTCGTATATATATATATATATATATATATATATATATATATATATATATATATATATATGACATACAAATTTGCCACCTTATGTCACGCCTTGGAAAATGCCACATCCTTGCCGTGGCGGTAAGGCTTGACACTTGACCATGCTTCACGCCGTTTAGAACATGTGATTATTAACCTAGAGTAGTTATTCTTATTGTTTATCTCATAAGTTCGTATTCTAATATCTTCTAGTTTAAGCCAACATATCGATGAGGCAGTCCACACACACACACACATATATATATATATATATAATATATATACGAATGAAAGCAAATACACGTATTTTGTGTTCAAATTTGATTTTTTCATGCTCATAAATTTGTTTATGTCAAATGGTTTACACTGTTCTATCTTCTTGATATTTTATGGAGGGTTAAATGCATGAAATAGCAACCTAGTTTTATAAAATTCTTTATTATAGCATTGTACTTTCATTTTTTCTTATTACAACAATCTACTTTCAAACTATTTCTTATTACGACTTTGTATTTTGAAAAATCTACCCAATATAGCAATGAGTAACTTGTTATCTTTTAAACCTGTTATCCCTCACTTTTCTTTGCTTACATGGCTTAAATGAGGTGACATAGATGACACGTCATTCTGATTACATGGCGTTCATAAAAAAAACCTCTTCTAGTTTTTTTTTTTTAAATAATTTTCTCACTGTCTCGATTATTCATATCCACCCAGATTATGTTTTTCATCACTTCATTAAAGAATACTTCCGAAAAAATTTCACTCTTATTAAATTGTATGTTATAATAAGGAAATTTATGAAAGTAGGTTGCTATTTCTTGCAGTTTGCCCTTTTATTAATGACAAATAAATAACGTGGTCAGTTTTTTGAGACGTTACTTTACCTTTAATATATATATATATATAGAGAGAGAGAGAGAGAGAGAGAGAGAGAGAGAGAGAGGGAGGGAGAGAATGAGGTTCAGGGGAAACTCCCAAAAATGAAAAATTGAGGGATGCTCTAGTAACCATTCATCTATATTGTATGCACATATGCATACAAGTAATGGAAGATGTTTTCCTCGTTAGAAGCACGTGTGCATGGCGGAAAAATTACTTAAAAATTAAATGTATGCACATGTGCATACCGCGCAGATGAACGGTTCCTTAATCACATATGATATGAGTGTTCTTTTGTTTTCACATTTTGACCCTTTCCTTGCTTAAACTCCTCCCTCTACATATATATATATATATATACACACACACACACACAGTGTTCAGTGCTTTAGTTTCAAGCATCTCGTCAAAGTTTCGATCTTGAATCCGGCTTCTAGTGGACTTACCACATATTCTACTACTATCTACAGGTTCTCGAAGCTCTCTTTTTGCAGCTACTGATCCTCAAATTCCGGAGTACTGTGAGATGTTGAAAGCAGACGAATGGCCCGTATCTGCTTTCATTTCTCAGGATTGCCGTCCAACGAACGCTTCCGAAGAATCCCATAATCTTGAAACTTCTTACAGAGTGTGGGAGAAGACACTACAAATGGTTGGCCTTCCTTCGGACGCCGTAGAGAGGCTTATAGAAGGCGAAGATGTCGACTGCAAATATGGAGCTCGCGACGACTAGAATTAATCTCAAAAGATCTTTCGTGTCATTGCCTTTGAGACCATGTTCGCTCCCGCTCACCACCATGCAACTGAGGTTTTCCGTCCATCACTATTTATGGACATCTAATGTCCGAGGCCCTGCTTTCGAGTGGGATATACTGAATTTGTTTGGTTTGATGTCCCGGAAAGGTATAATATAAACAACATAACATAGGATGCTAAACCCTAATCCCTAAACCCTAAAATCTATCGCAAAAAAGGGTTATTGGGTGACACGTTCTCGAATCTCTTACGTTTGTACGCCATAAATCTGACGAAAACGTGTCGTAACATATTCGACCCACGGACGTGGATTTCTTGATCTTTCGTCCTATAAAATTGTTCTTTTTGGTACATGATATAACACAACGTTTGCTTTTTCGGCATTGTCGTCGTCGTAGAAATCACTGAGTCGTGTTGATTATTTTGTTTTTGCATCTCCAACAGATTCTTTAAAATTGAGAAAAGTAGATTTTGTTTTTTAGAATTCTCTTCTTTTATTTCATGTATTATATTTTAATTGATTATATTTAAGTTTCAATCATTGATTTTATTATTTTATAACATTTAATATGGTAATATACAATTAGATTAATATATTATCATATGAAAAATCGGTTTTTAATCGGGTAAATTGCATGAAAAAGTAACGTATTTTAACCTGATTCTTGTTTTAGGTAACGTACTCTCAAAAATTTCATTTTGGTACTTAATGTAAAGTTTTAAACATTTAAGTATTCGGGTAACTAGTTGAAACATTTATTTATTACCATGCTGATGTGCCAAGTGATGTGGTATCCAACTCAGTATTATTTGTTGACATGGATATCTTAATCTAAAATTAGTTTTTATATATTGTGGTTTATTAGAAGAAAAAGTTAATATTTCAACTGGTTATCCGAGTATTTAAATGTTTAAAACTTTACATCTTAGGTACTAAAATGGAAGTTCTGAAAGTATGTCATCCAAGATAAAAATCAAGTTAAAATATGTTATTTTTTCATCCAATTTGTCTTTTTATATAATACGATTAGCTTATTTTCTTAAAAGCCCAAATTTTTTTTTTCAGATTAAACTTAATTTTTCATTTTCAAGAAAAGAATTAAGAAAAAATATGTGTTTATAAAATTTGGAAAAAAATAAAAAATTATATTACCAACAACTGAATTTAATTAAATAAAAATAAATAATAAATTTTAATATAAATCATTAATAATTATAATTATAAATGATTTATATCAAGTAAATCATTACAAGGCTACTTAACAGTTGTTGAATGATTGGGTACAGAATGATTAAGTTATCAGAATGATTAAGAGACTTTCATGATATAATACAAAATAAAATATAACTGTTTGGTAACTATTTACAACAAAATTAAGGGGTTAAATAGTTAAGAAAGACCCAAGATATAAAATCATTTAAAAAAATTTAAAACCATTAAGATACAGATTTTTTTTTTTGTTAAACAAAATTTATTAACGATTTAAAAGTAATTCGCTTCTCAATAAAAATAAAAATAATTGTTTTTATAAAAGCTGATCGTTAGGCCATAAAGTTTAATGGGCCTGGGCTCGCCCTTGATTCAACGGTTGCGATTAAAAGCTCAAATCCAACGGTTGTCAAGCAATCTGGAGGGATATATATAAGCACATCTCAAACACATTTTCTCGCGTTGTTCTACTTGCCGCCGCTGTGTTCTTCGCTGCTCGTCGATTTTAGGTAATCTGCTTCGATTATTAGTTGTTGCTAATACGGTTTGCATTTTCGTGAGCACAATTAGAAATACTAGCTGATTGTGACGTATAATCACGATTTGAGAGTGATTTGTAAGTATGACTGTAGGTTTATTTACTTATCTAGCTTTTTTTAATTGTTTATATGAATTCGTCCCTGAAATTTGTTGTTTGCCAGATTTTTCTTTCTTTTTTCTGTCACTATGTAGTTGCAAAACGTAATTTTGGTGTTTTTTGATCAAATTCTATGGCTTCTAAGACCTGTTCGATGAAATGCTTAGAAGAAATTGTGTGTGTAATGATGTAAAGTCGGTGGGCCTCCTGTTGAATGAATTAGCATATTTATTAAGTTTGAAGATTTTCAATCAATGTAGTGGGGAGGGTTATGAGTTTATAAAACATCATAGAATGGAACCCTGCATTAAGAATGTAATCTTTGGTGGTAATATTGCTAAAATCTCAGATCGTTGTGTACAAGTTGAACCCTAAAAATCTCTAATGTACTTGTAGAAATTTTAGGTCTTCCGTTTGGCATGTGCGTGTTAGAGAATAGCTGCAGATTTTGATTCAAAAGTTGCACATTTGACCGAGCATTTTATCGAACAGGTTGTAGAAGAATCTGTAAGTAAATTTTTTTGATGAAAAGAACTGACAACACAATGGTGTTTTGCAACTACATATTGGCAGCTGTTGAAACAAAAAGAAAGCCTATCTAACAAACAACAATCAAATGCTCGGTTGCATATTGCCAATTAAAAAGGGCTGGATAAGTAATTATCTTGCATTCTCATTCTCTCATCTCTCCCAAATTGTTACTATACGTTATCGTCAGCTAGATTTTTGAATGTGAACATCAGCCTCGTGCCAGTTACAAGTAGATCCCAGCCTCTTTTTTCAAATATTTTTTTATTGCTTACTACTCCCGCTGTCATAAATTAAATGTCCACAATGCATAAAGCAAACAGATTTGGGAATGTGTGATTATTACTCTTTTTAATTAACTAAATTTCAATTTTACTCTTAATAATAGATGTGGGCCGTTTCAGAATTACAGGTAGAATTGGAATGTAGACTCTTAGATTTGAAGGTGGACAATTAGGATAAACTAAAATAAAAATTGTGGACACTTATTTTGTGTCGGAAGGAATGTTGGTTTTTTTTTTGTGATACATTTTTTCTTATACTTTTTTCTGCATAATTATTTACTATGTTTGGGGTTTTTGTGAGCAGCCGGACCTTTCTTCTTCCAAGACTATCATTTGTTGATTCATCTTGAAACAAGATGGTGAGTTCCCTGTTTTAGATGGTTGTATCAAATATCAGTTATGTTGATTTATAATCAGTGTTCGATGTGCTATGTGTGGCTACATTTGATTAAAGTGGATTATGTTATGTTGTTTGTTGAGTGATTCTATTGATCTGCCAAACATTACAGGTTTTGCCAAACGATGTTGATCTTCTTAACCCACCTGCCGAGCTGGAGAAGAGGAAGCATAAGCTCAAGAGACTTGTCCAATCTCCAAACTCTTTCTTCATGGTATCTTTTTTCTCTTTACATCTCTTGTTTTGTGCTTTTTTGTTTTATTTTTGGAACATTTGATGACGTGGATACCCATTTACGTTCCTTTCTCTCTTTACATCTCTTGTTTTGCGTCTCGCTGCAAATCTTGTAACATTTGATGATGTTGATACACTTATATGTTCTTTTCTCTCTTTACTTCTCTTGTTTTGTGTTTTTCAATGTTAGATTTTGACTAGTAACTTGCTAATCTTGTAACATTTGATGATGTTGATACTTGTTTATGTTCTTTTCTTTTTTACTTCTAGTCTTTTTTCCTTTTACGTTATATTTTGTCTGGTAACCTGCTAATCTTGTAACATTTGATGACATATCCATCTTTTTATGTCTTTTTTATCCCTTTACTTCTATAGAATTTTGTGCTTTTCCATGTTATATTTTGACCAAGATTCGTATTGATCAATCTTCCTTTAAAAATAGTTAATCCTGTTGATGCCAGAAAATCCTAAAATTCCATTTTTCTGGTAATCCGGTGATCATGTATCATCTTGATGATGTGCATACCGAGTTTATCAAATGTTATAAGATTACTAGGGTACCGGTCAAATGGGTACAAAATAAGAAAATCTTAGAACTTCACTACATTGGTCGAGAAAAAAATTAGAACTTTGCATTTTGATGTATAATTTGTCATATAACGAAACCTTGCTCTAATTTTGTTCAATTCTATCGGTGCAGGACGTTAAGTGCCAAGGTTGTTTCAATATGTGAGTACTCGCATTCGAATTTTAACTCCCATGTTTTTCGATATTTTCTTAGTGTTTTTTTTAACTTATCTTTTTCTAACGTTTGTGATTACAGAACAACCGTATTTAGCCACTCTCAAACTGTGGTGGTATGCGGAAACTGCCAGACGGTTTTGTGCCAGCCGACGGGTGGTCGTGCTAGACTCACCGAAGGATGCTCGTTCCGGAGGAAGGGTGATTGATCGGATTCTTAGGAGAGTTACACAAGTTGAGTTATTTATGGAAGATTTTTAATGGGTTTTGTTTTATAAAAACATGTCAGTTTTGGATACTTTTGTTGTGGATTCATGATTTGGTTTTATACAATTCATGGTATGTTTTTTACAGCTTTTGTCAACTTGAAAGAAATACTTACTTTTTTTCATTTATTTTTTGAGTATATTACGGTTGCATTTTTTTAACGGAATAGTTGAATGACAAAATAATTTATTGACCTATTTCGGTATAACACCGGTAATAACTAGTTTTGAGTGGTTAGATAAACAATTTATATCAGTATCAAACCGATAATAAGGAATTTTTGAAGAAGCTAAATTATTATAACTTATAATAAGTTGATAAACACTTTTATAGGAAAGTATAAGTTGTTTTTATAAGCAATTGCAAACACCCCCTAAAACCATGAAAAACTGCATACTATCTGGTGTTTTACCTGACCGAGATTCATTGGGTTTGGTTTGGGACCGCCAGTTAAGGACCGGTATGAAAACATTATGTTCTTCAAATTTATATTTTGTTTGAATATAAAAACATTATTTTTTTTCTCAAAATCGTATAAAACGGTATTTTGTGAAGGGTAAATTGCATGGAAATGTAACGTAGTTTAACTTAATTATTTATTTTAGATAACATACTTTCAAAACTTCTATTCTAGTATTTAAGATGTAAAGTTTTATAGATTTAAGTACCCGGATAACTGGTTAAAACATTAACCGGTTATCATGTTAATATGGTATCCAACTCAATATTACTTGCTGATAAAGTTAGTGACATGGATTTTTTTTAATCTAAAATTATTTAAGTTCCTGGGTAACTAATGTTTAAAATTATAAATATTAAGCACATGAATTTTCTTTTATTATAAATTTTCACCAATAAAAAAACTTGAAATTAAATATGAAATAAGATTTTAATTGTATAATTAATATTGTAATCTTCAAAACAAAGAGACAAAGAAGTTGAATGAAGATCTTGAATTTTTACTCTTCGCTTTGAAGAAACTTTGGAGAATTTGTTGCAACAAATACCAACCAAAATAAACCCAACACTGCATAGACGAATGATCATATGAAAATAGGAGTTAAGAAAAATGTGTAAGGGACATGGACCGCTGATTACTTTTAATCTCACGCACACCTCATGAGAAATTGATCTGGTGCATCTTGTTATTGTTGATCTTCAATTATGATTGATCCAACGGTAAAAATTCCTTCTTATCTCTCTCACCATAACTTCCAGTCTTACCATAACACAACCCAAATACTCATATACTTTCATATCTATTGAACGGTCATTGGTCTAGTACTACGTAGGCTACTGGTAGAGTCAACCTCCCTAGAGGTCAAGGATTCATACATCACCAAAAATAACCAAAAAAGATGAACATATATGATTATATGTTGTCATATATAAATTTATATACTTCAAATGTCTTTTCCCGAAGAAGCAACGACGGTATCTGGGGAATAAACATCGGCTAACTCTATGCCAACAGTCGCGGTAACACAGAGGATGCACACATTATCCAGAATGATTGGGTGTAAAGCGTCTGTAGGTGGCTTTTTAAGTCCGCCGTCAAATCTCAGGGTTCAACTCTGGACAAGTGGTGGAAGCTACCAAACTGGAGTACCGTATGGACAAAGGGAATTTCCGGTGGAGTGGTGAAATGCGTAGATAAAAATATACTTTCAAACCTTCCCTATGTCATCATAGGTACTTAACACCAACCAGAAATGCAAATAGATATATCTTAGTTCCACTTGTAAGTACATTTTATAAATTGAACCCTACAAGGCTACAACCCCAACAAAACCATACCCATTTTAATGGAATTTCCCCTCCTACCCTTTCGGTTTCGGAACAATTCATAACTCGTAAATTGCAGATAAACATAACAATATGTAAACGACATGAAAACATCACCTATCCCACTCCGAAGCTGCTGCTAATTGTGGATGCACCTTCGAAAAATCCTGACCGACATTATTGGAGTGTTGGTTGGTGCTATGTGCCCATCCCATGATGTGAGGCAAAGCAAACTGCATTTCAAAATCAACAAACAGCAAAAATAACCATTTGTAAGACTATTTTTTTCTTTGGAAGGGTGTCTTGAGCTATGTCCAGACTAATCCCGACAAATTGCGACTGTAAGAGATCAGTCTTGATAAACTCAATGGCCACATTGTTGTGGACGCTTGGAATCGAACCCATGGCAGATGGGATATCCCACCACATCCTCTGGAATGGCCCCACCACACCGGTCCCACAGTCCTCATGGGGGAGGTAATCAATGCATGCATCACATTGGCAGAGAAATGGTGCCATGGCTCGAATCCAAGACCTCACTCCTATGGATTACACCCACACCTCTACCGTTGGGACAGATCAAAGAGGACTTACAGCAGACTTACGGGCTGTCTGGTTGGTTTTCCATTAAGTCCTGTATGGTTAATATGTCTGTATAAACTATAGATTCAGAAGGTTTTTGTTTGGTAGGATTTTTTATAGATGGAAGGAGCGTGTTTCTTAATTGAGAGGGACAAGTTTGGAAAAAACTTGGCATTCTGCATAAATCTCTCCCCTAGAAGCATACTGAATAAGCCACTTTCTATATGATTAAGCCACTACCACGCAATCACATATAGTTGATCGAATAAGTTGTGGGTCTCATTAAGCTGCTAACAAACAATCCCTTATTCATATATTCTCATCTATGCAGTAAGGTAGCAGTCGGCATGAAGACAGGATTAGAGCGGACAAGTTGTGTAGACAAGTGTTTGGTACGACTAGAAGAAGACTAAACAAGTTGTCTATATAGTGTTTGATAAGTTGGATAGAGCATGACAAAAATGTTAAAATGTTCATATGCCTTAAATCCTGTTCAATGTTTTTATATATCATATAGTAGTTATAAATGACACATCAAATAAATATACAAGTCATTTAATTCGTAGACAATTGTACACTATATATATGTATATATTAGTACCAAATTCAAATGAGGAAATTTGATATAATTGATGGTAATTCAAAGGAACCCACTTCATACAAGGGGAAAAAACTATGTTTCATTTGGTTCCGAAGGTCCTTCTGAATTGGCGGAGGCTTGGTGAAGGTAGAGGTGGTTGTCGGTGGTGGAGATGGCCGGCGAGCGGTGGTTGCAGCGCCAATGGATGGTTGTGATCATTATACCAGATATCATGCGAGGGTTATATCAAATGAGGGTAGATTAGAACTTTTTGTGTTTTGTCCCACTCTGTCCGAGTCCTATATCGAGCCATATTTGGAACAATGAGTTTTTGTCCTATCCTATCTACTCTCATGTGCCAAACGCACCTAATGTTCTTTAACATCTACAGCAAGTAAGCAGGATACATAGAAAATCTCATCCTCCCCGGGTTTGAATCCAGGCGCAACCAATGGCTTTTGGTCATGGTGGTTCACTACTCCAGGCCATTGGTGGTCGCCCAGGAGATTAGTCGGTGAGCGTAAGTTGGCCCAGATACACATGATTACCAGAAGGAAAAAAAAGTTGTCTTAGAATACGTACACTGAAAGCTGCGCGCATAACTGCAAACTCTGCTGTAGTTACAGGAACTGTAAAGCGGTCAGTACGGTTCAAGACATTGTTCGTCACACCTGCAAAGAAATCGATGGAATGTGAATATATTTTGCTCCACTATAAATTCAAGAATTTTAGTGAGAGATTATAGAATTATAACCTAAGCATGCAACTAAGAACTAGGAAGAAATAGATAACCTACTTAAAGAAATGAAATAACCATCGGTGATTGGCTTAATCGATAAGCTTTTCCTCACTTGACCTGCATCCCTGTATCATCAGAAGTCAAAACCTCCGGTTAAAAGAGAGAATGACTAACAAAAAAAAAGTGATTTCACAATATATAGGGAGGTTCAGGGGAAAACCCCAAAAAAATGAAAAACTGAGAAACACACTGCCACCCTGGTAACCATTCTTCTAAACTATGTACACATGTGCACAAGTAATTGAAGTTGTTTCTTGGTTTCTATGCACCTGTGCATGTAATGCACATGTCCATACTGGACAAATTACTTGTATGCACATGTGCATACCGTGTAGATGAGGTTTTTAACTTTTTTGTGTTTTTTTATTGAACCTGACCATATATAACCATATGTAGTGAAGGACTACCTTGACTTCATTGATGGATCATGGAAAAATTCACAAGAATCTTGCGGACCCAAACTTATGAAGGACCCAATTTCCGTCACTGACAATGCAAACAACTACACAATATATAATGGGTTAAATCGAAAGAAAATGGATAAACTTTCAAAGTAATAATTGGCACATTATAATTAAAAATAATGCATTGCTCATAGTTGGAAACCTAGTGCATCACAATCAAACAATTTAGACAGTTTGGCAAGTAGAAAATGTACAGTCTAGCCAAGTTCTGAAAACAACGGCAACAATTGGGAAAGGATCTCCATTGCCCTCTTGTAACTTCACCACACTCGACACCCTTTTTCCATCAAAAACCCTCGCACCACGAAAAATTACAGAAAAACTAAAAAAACAGCAAGACAAAAGTAAGAAAACCCAACTCAGTCGATGAAAAGATTCACTGAAGTTCTATACTTGAAGATCAGGCGTTTATATTCTCATCACTACATCTTTCCTTGACATAAATAATTATTAAACTTTTACATGTTGGGTCGAATACTTCTCTTATGGGCCATTACCAAACACTTATCCAGTAAGCGCCCAGTGGATGTCAGTTACCTTACTGAGTGAGCACTGAGCATGACAAGGATCGAGAATCCTGCCTAGTAAGAGGCATAGCAAGGAGAAGACTCTTGCCCGGTAAGGACTCGGGTCCAACAATCCGTTTTAATGGCCAAGAATGTTACATGATAAGGTACGTGAGGGTATTCACTCTTGCCGGTAAAGGTTTGGTAAACGGCCCCTTAGTTATTGAAATCTAGATGATAAGGTGCTGCATAATTAGTATTAGACTTTGACACTAGGGGGCGTTTGGTTTGATGGAATGGTTTTGAGGGATTCAGATTATGTGGAAGGATTTGGAATTGGAGAGATTTAGATTTGGATTTGGAATATTTGGTGTGTTTGGTTTGTAGGATTTGGAATAGAATTGAATTTCATTCTTTATAAATAATTTTCAATAACAAATTAATAATTATAAAATTAATTAAATTACCTTTTTTATTAATTGATTATTACAAAAACAAATGTTCTTTAACATATATTAAAACATTATTACATATAAATCCTACGAAATCCCGTGAAATACCAAGCACCCCGTTGGAAATTCAAAATCCTATTTTGTGGAATTTCAAATCGAGGAAATCCTTCAAACCAAACATGGATTGGAATGGAATTCAATTCCAAATCCAATCGAATCCTTCAAACCAAATGGAACCTAAGAACATTTCAGGAAATATAATGAAAAAAATTTCAAGGGAGAGCGTTTTGTTGGCAGCTTTGGCAGAGGGTAAGACGTAAGACACCCAAAAGGTAATAAAAGAAGTACAGGACCATATGGCAAGTTACCTGTTTCTTTTCTGAATCATATTTCCGCTCACCAATAGCAGGCCGGAATGTCAGCATAATAGTGCCACGCCGTTCTACTTTTGTATAACCAGACTGAATAACAAAAAAAAAAATCAGTATATTATATGAATATAACTCTATTTCATGATAAAAAAATAATTTGATAAATTTTTTTACTTTCACTATTATATACAAGGTGGCTCCAATTTGATAACCAAATTAAATTTGATTCTTGAATAAATGTGGATTAAGATACATAATTTATTATTCTGGGCATTGTTAATTCATGGTATACAAGCAAGAGTCGTCTTTACTTTGGTGAGAGGCATCATTCTTAGTGGTTTTGACTTCACATACTCTTATGAGTTATGGGTGTGTTTGGTATCCAGACAGAACAGTTGTTGAACGTTTGGTAAGACTTAATTGGACAGAACAAATAAAATGAGCAATTTACCCCTAACGAGTTGTTATATATTTTTTATAACAAAATATATCATTAGAAAGTCTTCGCCAAGACTATTAAAATGACACCAAAATAAAAAGTTTATGTAGTTTTCAATTAATTTTTATACCTTTTCTATATTATTTTATTATTATAATATTCTTAAATTACATAAATTAATCAAAATATAGAAACCGTATCAAATAATATTTTAGGACAGTAAAGTTATACTTTAAGGAGCATAAAATACAATAAATAAAATTTAAAGAATGAGCAAAATGTAAAGAGGGAGGCATAATTGATGCTTTTTAACAGAATTAGGTTTTATTTTGAAGTTATGTCGGTAAAATATAGTTTTCACGCCAGTTCCACTTTGTTCTTCTTTGTTTCACATAAAAGTCTTGCCAAACGTGGAAAAGTGATCCCTATTATGTCCTGTATAGTGTACCAACCGCACCCTATATGACTAAATATTCACTCCAAAAATTATCAATATTGTCATTCACTAACATTAGCATTATTATTAGCAGTAAAAAGACAGACTGCAGATCATACGTCCAATTTACTAAATGTAGGAAGAACAGGTGCAGCAGATAGTGCAGCTTTGCCCTTGAAAATTGAATAGTCTGCAAATATTCGGCCGGAAATCTTCCCTGAATAATCAGAAGATGGATACAATGTTCAATCAGTTTCATGAGAATCACTATGAACTATAGAAGAAACTAGAGATGGGTGTAGAATACCATCAGCACCATAACTTTGTCTAGAAGTAGAAATGCCAGCAGCAGAGGAAGTCAACTTGAAACAATTTCCAATACTTTCCCCAAGTAATTTATGCTGAGACAACTTGTTCCTGAATCAACAATTACCAAAATGCTTTTTCAGTGAACCATTCACATTGCAGCATACTCTGGCAAGTGCTGACTTATAAAATGAAGTATATACTACATCGAAGACAAGAGTTGGTATATTGGATTAAATTACAGAAGAAAAAACATCCCTATTGAGAATTCATAAATCTCTACGATTGACCATCTTGCTCAACACATGAGACGACACTTCTCCAACCCTAACATTTCTTATACCAAAAGCACCAGCATGAAAACCAAACCAAACGAACTCGGTATGTCTCCACTCGAGGTGGGATATGGGAGGGGTAAGAATACACACAGACCTAACCTCTGCTCAAAGAGTAGAGCGGTTATTTCCATTAAGGCCCCGACTTGTGAAAAGTGCGTGACAGCGAGAAATGTAGATATGCAAAAAAATTAAAAAATAGAAGCAGGTAGACGAGAAACATAAGCAGAGAAAGAAACATAAGCAGAGAAAGAAAAATAGACACCCCTAGTCCAACTTACTGATCCAGTAACGCTAACTCCCCCCCCCCACCTCTCCAGCTCCCTTCCACCCGACTACGCTAGCTATAGCTCCCCCACCCCTACTCTGCTACCCAAATCTCATGGATCCAAGAGCTCCTATCTAAGGCCGGTTCCACAAAATATACCTAGAGTCGCTTTCTCATATACCAAAAGCACCAGCATCTCATATACAATCAAAAAACAAAACCATAAAAGATTGGTAGCTGTATTGTTACATTTTTTGACTGATAGCAAGCATCAATGTCTTGAATTTCCCTATTTCAAAGTTTTGTGTCACATAGGACTTTGTACACTAGAAAAAAAAGATGTTTTGCAAGTACTGAATAGATATATCTGTAAAATAAAAGGAACCAAAAAGTACTTTGTTAATTCAGAAGATGAAACGACACCTACGACTATAGAAGTACAAAACAAGATCACAAGCGGAGACGCAAAAACCTAAAAAATACATACCCTATCCCGCTACAAATGCCACGGTGCCTTCAAAAGACACTCAGGGTGCGTTTGGTACACTGAACAAAACAGAACAGGGATCATTGTTCCATGTTTGGCAGGACTTTTATGTGGAACATACAAGAACGAAGTGGAACAGGCATGTTACACCCCCCACCCGATGGAACAAGGTGAAATAGACCTATATTTTACCAATATAACCTTAAAATAAAACTTAATTCTCTTCTAAAACATCAAATACACCTCCCTCTTTACATTTTATTCATTCTTTAAATTTTACTTATTATATTTTATGCTCTTTAAACTTCCACTTTACTGTCCTCAAGATATTATTTTTATACGGTCGGTTTCTATATGTTGGTTAATTTATGCAATTTATTAAATTTTAATAATAAAAAACGATATAGTAAAGGTATAAAATAAAAATCAGAAACTACATAAGCTTTTTATTTCTGTGTCATTTTAACCGTTTTGACGAAAACTTTCTAATGATATCTTTTGTTATAAAAAATATTTATTTTATTATAATTTAATAAATAATCAAAAAATATAAACAACTTATTAGGAGTAAATTTGTCATTTTATCTGTTCTATCCTATCATGCTTTGTCTTTCTAAACGTTGAACAGTTGTTCTGTCTTATCCTGTATGGATACCAAACGCACCCCTAATGACGAATTGCCACAGCCTCATCTGTCGGCAGTAGACCACTACTCCACCTACCGCATGTTTCCTCCAGGAGACCATGATTCTGCCTGCTTCTCCAACTACTTTGTGCCGCTTCTCCACTCCCCTCCCCTTTTGTCGCCAGCATCACAGCACCCCTTCCCATTGTGCTGCTAGCAAGATTTGTTCCTCCTATCTGCTTCAACAAGCCCTACGGGCACATCAATTTTCACCCAGCGTCCCTGTAAGTATCTTTCTGGCTCAAGATTAATTGCTAGATTCAAATTTTGCTTTTTAGTTGGTAATTAACCTCAAATTTTTTATGTTCAGTATTTCATCTTTTTAGGTGAAGCTATTAAAAACCAAACCAAACATGTTCCCTATGGTTTATTAAGGTTCCTCTGCTCATGGTTTTAAAAAGCGTACGAGGTGTATGCCTCGAGGCGGTCCAAAATCGCACCTGAGGCGGCGCCTCTCAAGTCCCAGACGACCGTACGCCTTGGTGGTCCGAGGCAGTAAGGCAGTTGAGAGGGGTACACCGCGCTACAGAGGCTAAAGTTTTAAAAGAATGACTGAAACCTTCTCGATTTCTTCTTTGAAAACCTTTGTGTTCTTCTCCGGTTCTCCTAGGCCCTACCTGCACTCATCTGTTGTCCTTTCTTCTCCCACCTTCTTGATATTTTTTATTTTTTTCTTCTGTGAGCTATGAGCATATTAATATATATCTTTGTTACTATATCTATATTTCGTGATTGAAAAAAGTGTATATAGATTGTTTTAGTAATTTAGTATGATATATGTATATATTGTGTCTAGTACTCCAGTGCGTGTGTATATAAAGATTGCATATATTTTGTGTATAAGCAGTGAAATGCAGATTGGTATAAATATATTTTCTGTATATATTATATAGGGGTGGTTTCAAATACAAATCATAAAAACCATTATATTAGGAAACAATTGGTTTGAGTTTGGGCTCCAAAGGTCAAAAGTGCCTGGAGGTCCCAGGTTGGAATTCAAGAAGGAATAAAAATCCCCTTATGGCCATGGAGGTTCAAATGCAGTGTTTCCGGGCTACCCGCGAAGCGGGTGGTCGCCCTGGGATTAGTCGGCTCGCATAGTAGGGGGCTGGATATCCAGGTTAATCAAAAAAAAATTGAGATATATATGGACAATTATCATTATTCATTAATTATGATTGAGATATATATGGAAGATGATAAGGTTCATTCATTATGATCATTGCTTTGGATTAGGAAACAAAATAAAATCAGATGTTTATTAGACTTGATAGACGGCTAAGATTGGTTTGTAAAGTTTGTTAGAATTACATGATTTTTAAATGAAAAGTCCCCTATATATATATACTAGTATATATATTTCCGCCTCGAACCGCCTCGAGGCTTACCCCTTGCCTCGTTGAGAGAAAACGCCTCGAGGCCCGATTCCGCTTCTTAAAATCTTTCTCTGCTTTATCATTTTCCTGTTTTTCAGCTCTGGATCTGTCTTGGTTTGTATGAGATTATAATGGAGTGTAAAGCAAAGGAATGCAGCATCTTTTGTGTAAGATTGTGTAGGGACCTGTAACTATCCGAGAGGACATGACCTCTGATATGAGTTCTTGGATACACAAGACTCGAGTATCAGACTATGTGTAGCGACCTGTAACTATCGTTGTTGGGACTTGGGAGGAAGAGAGATCAGAGATGTAGAAGGTGAGACAGGAAGAGGGTTGAGGAGCCGATAGATAGGTTTTCAGAGCCTTAAGATCGATAGAGGGAAGTTAGTTTGTCTGTATTTATTGGCTCCTATGTTTTTTGAACTTGCTTAGTTGCTTGTGTAACCTTCTTTTTACCTTTTTAAATGTTCTCTAGTCTTGGGTATTCTTCTCAAAAAATCATCGAAACTTACCTTTTGGTCCCAAATGCAATTTCAGTAGTCATTTTTCATTTCAGTTGGAAAATTCCTTCCTTTTTTTCAATTTCTTCCAACTATTTTGTGAAACCTTCAAAAGCACTCAGGTCTTTACTAAATTATTTTTCAAACACTTTTTCATAGGCCATGGGGTTTTCATAGAAACATCCGCTCTACTCTTTTGGGTAGAGATCAATACATTCCACCCCCACCCCCGACCCTACTTTCAACTGGGACTTACCGGGTGGGTTTGGTCAGGTTTGGTTTATTCAAATATGCTTTATGATCTGCACAACTATTTGTTCCAGGCAGAGGCGGACCTAGGAATTTTTCAAATGGTGTTACTGTCAACATTTGACTACAAGAAACGAAGATAGGGATATTTTTCACAAAATCATTATTTTTTTGTTGGTTAGTTCTTTGCTTTACGTATATGAGGTCCTGTGCTCGAGTCTTTTATTGCAAAAAATATTCAAAAACATAATAAATCTGAAATTAGAAGCTAAAAACTAACAAAATGACCCAAATAGGATTCGAACCTGCGCCTAGAGTAGAAGAAAAGCCATGCAAACTAACTCTACCAAAGAAAACTTGTGTCATTATTGTAGTTTCAAAATATATATGGTTGCACACAACAAAATGATACGGTAGCACCTTTCACGACCCTATAATTTTTTACACTACGACGGAGGAACAAAGTGGTTGCCCATGCCACCATATGCTATAGAGTGGGTCCATCCGTGGTTCCAGGAATCAAATTAAAGTAGTATAGTTGTGAGGCCATAATCAAGGCCAACATACCGTATAAGCGTACCACTAGTTGAGCACATTGCCACATTACATTATAATCAATCCATAATCACTAACACACCATTGCAATCACAAGTTCAAAAAGGTCAAGTTTAACCATAAAATATTTCCATTTATGAAGAAATCACTTCCACTAGCCAATTTCATCTTTGCTTTCAAGTTATGTTATCTTCACTCCCAAAACCATGTACAGAATGTAGGATTTTACTCAAAGTTCAGTTGCTTAATGCCTCGATTTCCCTTATACTCTCTTAGAGGCTGTTTGGTTGGTTTTCCATTAAGTCCTTAATGAATAAAATCATTTGTGTGGATTAATCTGTATGTATTGGGAAGATTTTTGTTTATGAGGAGTTTTTTCATAGGTAGAAGGAGCGTGTTTTTTAAATGGGAGGGGCAAGTTTAGAAAAAACTTGGCTTTTCTGTACAAAGCTCCCCCTAGAAGCTTACTGAATAAGCCACTTTCTACATCATTAAGCTGCTACCAAAGAGTCATGTATAGTTGTCCAAATATGTTGTGATTCCTTTTAAGCTCATTAAGCTGCTAACAATCAAACCCTTACTCTTTACCAGATCATTTAGGATTTTTATCTCTACGTAAACAACACCCATCAATTCATTGCACCTATCACTACAAATAACTTATAGGTTTAACAGCTTCAAAACCCTCATGTACCAACAGTAACCACAATATTTGCAAAATCAAAAACATTCACAGCAGCAACTACATGGATAGAGCAGAGAAACACAGCTTATAGCCTTATAACCACATATTATACACACTATGAATCGATAAATGAATGCATATGAACATGGATGAACACAATAAAGGAAAAAAGCACCGAAAATATATTAACAACTGGATCAAAGAAGAAGATAAACAGACGCTTTTGGTGGCAATAGTAGTAGTATTACCTGGAATTAAGGAGCTGAGAAAGCTTCACCATAGCTCTAGGGTTCATGGTGGACTCAGTGGGTGCTCGATTTTGGGAGTTGGGAGAAAGTGTCGACACGATAAGAAGTGTTTTAAGGCGCCAATTTTGTGTTCTATTTGACCTAAATCGAAAAGGGTTCAAATGTAAGAAACTTTTTTGAAAATGGAGTAAATTACGTTTTTCACCCCTTTGGTTTCTTAAAAATTGCAATTTTAGTCCTTGTATTTTCAGAGTTGTAGTTTTTTTATTGTCGTTTGTGTCTCTGAAATTAACTCTGTCAGTGGCTTAATGCTAAATATAAGAAACGGAAATAACAATGAACAGTAAACTACAGAGGTGTTTGGTTACAGATATTAATCAGTAATCAATGAGAATAAAAATAAAATAAATTATTTGATTTTATGTAGTGTAATAGACTTAGTGGTCGTTTACTAAAACGCTTATCCGGTGAGTGTTTACTGGGTATTTTTTCTTACCGGATGAACATGGCAAGGGTCAAATATCTTACCCGATAAGAGCAGTGATAAAGATGAAGAGTCTTATTCGGCAAGTGATGGTCACGACTCTGACCCGGTTAAGTGCTTACGAGGTAAGTTGTTGCATATGATACCATTTTGATGTACTACAATCTTGCAAGATAAAATAAATTACAGTGTTGACTTCTAACGGTAAGCGCTCGTATTCTCATTTATTCAGCATTGACCAACACAACCCCTGCGTCTCCCTTGTGGTTTGTTAATAGTTGTTACTTTCGTCCATGTGCTTTCAAAATTATGGTTTTCATTCTCGTGGTTTGCAATATTGCAATTTCCGGTCCTTGAGATTAACTCTGTTAGTAACTAACTGTTAAGTATGATGGACGAAAATATCAATGAACTATAGATAACAGGGATGAAAATAGTAATAAATTTTAAATAACAAGGTTGAAAACAACAGTTTTTAACAACCCGTGAGACCAAAAACATAGTTTAAAGAGGTTGTTTGTTTACCTCTTAATTGTTTCACTAAGAGGCATCATCTGAATTGTTAAGAGGTGAATCTTGTTTGGCAAAAAAATATGCATCTTAATGGTTTAAAAACCCTCTGAATGATTTTGTATCATGGTCTCCCTTAATCATTCAACGCCCTAATTCCATTATAAACAATTACCGAACAATTATGTTTCATTTTACACTATATCATGAGAGTCTCTTAATCATTCTGATCATTTTATCATTATGCATCAAACCATTCAGCAACCATCAAACAGTCCCTTAATATACATATTCTAAGTAAGCATTTGGTTTGACAAAATGTTTTTGATATATTTGAATTTAATGAAAAGATTTTTGAATATTTAGCGGTTGTTTGGCAGTTGCTGAATAGTTTGGTGCAAAATGATTAAGTGGTCAGAATGATTAAGAAACTTTCATGATATAGTGCAAAATAAAATATAATTGTTTAGTAATTGTTTACAATGAAATTAGGGCGCTTAATGGTGAAGGGAGGCTTAGGATATAAAATCACTAAGAGGGTTTTAGAACCATTAAGAGACATATTTTTTTTTTGTCAAACAATATTCACATCTTAATGATTCAGATGTTGTCTCTTAATGAAACCATTAAGAGGTAAACAAACAACCCTTTAGTGTGTTTGATTTGTAAAATTTGGATATTCTCTGTAACAATAAACAATTATAAAAATAATGAAATTATCTTTTATTAATTAATAACTACAAAACAAATATTTCTTAGATAATTTTAAACAAAAACCCTATGAAATCTCGTGAAATATAAAACATTCTTATATAATTTTAAAGGATTTCTAAGATGGCGTTTGTCTTTTAAGAGATGTTGAAGTCTGAAGTCTAATTTCACTTCTGATTTATAAGAGGTGGTCCTAAAATCTGAAATCTGGATCAATAAGATTGTTTGTTTTTACGTCTGAAATCTAAATCGGTCAAACAAATGCAAATATATAATATAAATGTTTTTTTATAAAAAATATAAAAGATAAATAGTTTTTGCTAACAAACCTCTTAAAACCCCCAAAATATGAACCATTGATAGAGGGTGGATTAAGATCAAGAGGTTTGAAGGGATACGTTTACCACTTAAAATTTCATAGGACATTTAAAGCTTTTAAGTTATTATATCTATACTATCTTATAAAGCATTTGGCTAAAACTCTTAAAAATTCTTAAACCCGTTCATCCCTAAATGATTTCATCCTTATCCGATTTCATTCCATATCTGAATTCATGTAGCTAACTACAGATAAACACAATCAAATACAAGATAAACATTTCATTTTAAATATAAAAAATCTAAAATATAATTAGTATAGTCATTAAATTCTAACAGAATACTTAATTATTAT